GAACCACCTCAGGAGGTAGAGTCGGCTCTGGTCCTTTTTGAAGAGGCGTTTATGTTGTATATTTGAGTCCAGTCCAGTTTGTGGTTCAGATGAACACCCAGGTACTTATATGAGTCCACTCTCTCAATGTCCCTTCCCTGGATGTTCACTGGGGCTGGAGCGGCAGAGTGACGTCTGCGGAAATCCACCACCATCTCCTTGGTAAGTGATCAACAAAAATGTGTTGCGGTTTCCTTCATAGTGTTATTTCAGTGGATTGAAATTTGTAATCCTAAGACAAAAAAACATTTTTTATAGTAGAAATCACATAGAACAAATTCAAATTGATTGCCCTGTTGCCCATCACGAAAAGCAAATATAGATAGATAACCGTTTATTCATCACAGTATTGTATTGGCACCGGGCGGCACGGTGGCTGAGTGGATAGCACTCTCGCCTCTCAGCAAGAAGGTCCTGGGTTCGAATCCCGGTCGGACCAGGGCCTTTCTGAGTGGAGTTTGCATGTTCTCCCCGTGTCTGCGTAGGTTTCCTCCGGGTACTCCGGTTTCCCCTACCACTAAAAATATGTCCAATAGTTCCAGCATGCGCCTCCTGTACCGGCGACCCCGCTCCCATCTCTGTGTGGAGTGAGAGATAAATGCCCATAATTAACAATTGTAAACCGCTTTGTGACTCAGATCTGTAGTGAAAAGGCGGTATATAAATAAAGATTACTACTACTACTACTATTGATTTTGTATTGACCTTTGCAAAGAACGTGCCACATAGATTTCAGGGAAAGGAAATCCTGGTCCCAAAGGGAAGAAGCCTATTGTACATATTTCAGTAGTAGGGGGAGACTGAGCACACAGAAAAGTATCATTACGTGAGATTAAGTTAGATAATAAATCAGAATTTCTTATATTTTGTAATGCTATAATCACATGCTCAAATAATTACAAAAGACTGTATAAATAACAGAAGCCATGTTATATAAACAGAAGCTTGGTTGTGGGGGCAAAAAATCTATAGCAATATTTGAACTGGGATAGGAACAAATGTATAAATGTTTCCCTTGTTGCAAACGTAATCAAGACTGAAATACATGAATTTATTTATTCACATGTGCGCTTGGAAAAACCCAGCTTGCAGGCTGAAGCATTATTCAGGACACAGCAGATATCAGGTTACACTGCTTTGAACACAGGAGGGAACAGAAGGGAGATGACTGTCCCTCGCACATGCACACACGCACGCACACACACACGCTTAATGGTGTAGGGGGGGAACAGAAGACAGGGGAGCTCTTGGGGTTTGGGGTCTCCTGGGACGGGTGCATCCAATTAAGAGAAAGACAACGCCCCACGGTTCATCTGAGCAGCTGGACATGTGGGTGAAATTGAGGTCCTCTGAATCACATTATGGCTATTCTAGTTACAGACTAGAATGTCTGTCACATTGGCGGCTGAGACTGTGGGGATGAGTAAATATATTGTAGAGTAATGTATTGTGTTGTAGAATATGTCAAAGATCCCAATATTACACTGTATTTCATCTTCTTGGAAATGTGTGTTACAAATAGTTCAGACATTACGTTTTGAAGGTTAATCTCAAATTAAACATTGACTTTTCCCGCAGATTTCATTCAAATAAACCAAATGCTAAAACTACTTATAAATACGGTCATCCTGCTTATGCTTTCAAAGAAACAGCCTTCTCCAACTAGTTTTAAATATTGTGTTAAGACTAGTGCATGCACTGCTAAGATTATTGACTTGACAAGAAAATCAAGGTTTTCTCTCAAATTGTTTCTATAAACAGGCCAATGTAAGATAGTGGAAAGTGGTATAAGCGTGCCAAGATGAAAATCACCATTTTCAATGTTACAGATTAACCATCACAGACAGATTAACCCAATAGTGGCCGCAGTGACCCACTTCACGGCCTGTGCCACTATGGACATACTGTAAACAGACAGCCTATGCAGAGTTACTGTGTCAAGGAAGAGCCAAAGCTTCTTATATATTTAATCATATATTACGAAAGTATTCAAAATATGATACGAGAGGTTTGCATTTACTAGCACAGGGATGTATATCATGACATTTTAGAAACAAAGTAAAGTTAACTCTATTAATGTTAATAATAACAAGAATGTATGGGTTTTATATTAGCACGGGACACATTCATTTTTTTTTAAAATAATATTGTATATAGAATCTATCCATAATTGCACATGTAAAGTTTGTATACTTGTAGATTCTCAAAGCAGTTGCGGTTCGAAGCCAGGAAGAAGACCTCTATGGTGAAAAGCTTTCTTAATAAGTGTCACATATTCTTTTCAGACTGCCTTGGAACTTGTTTTGAAACTCTTTAAGGTGATATCAGCAACTTTAACTGTATAACAGTTTTCAAAAGCCAGACCGATAGATCTATCATGTCCATATAGCAAGTATTATCATTCAAAATAGTTTTTGAATAATAATGTCAAGGGGCCTCAAGAATTTTAACTACTCTTGACCAATCAGATGGCTGCTTCGGAGAGCCAGTGCTACTCTAAAGAAGTTGAATTCTTCCTTCATAATTTTAAACGTAACTGACATCCACTTTCACAAACTACTACATACCTGCAAACAAACTTTCAATGAATTGTAAACAATTTAGGCTAAAAAAACATCTCTTATGTACTCACATTTTGTTTGTTAGACACTAAACAAAATGTGTCTAACTGCACATTTTGTGCAGTTAGACACAAAATGTGCAGACTCTCTCAACAGAGAGTCTTGTAAAAGTAAAGTGTAGAACAAATCAGACCACATCATGCCATCTTCATTTTATTAGAAAACATGTTATTTTTTTTCACACTATTTGCAGTGAGCAGCTGATTGAGTGAGGAGTGTCCTTTCTTATTCCACTTTTCTGCATGTCAGTGAAAACTAGTGATAGAACCAAGCGCTTTGTTGCATAGTCTATATTTTTGAAAGTTTAGATACCAGCTTCAATGAATGTAAAATTAGGGATTCCCCTAATCAGATATAATCACAAACTATGCATGTAATCCATTTTATTGCTTATAATGCAAAATGTGTACAGATCAAAACGCAAGATTAGAATTGTGCAACATTCAGCACTAGGGCAGATTTGACGCACAATCTGGCAGCGTCTACAAGGCAAATATCAAATGACAACAACTGCATGTAACAGGCCACACAGAGACATAACTGAGAGGGGTGGAGCAGGGACCAGCGGCAGGACACCAGCAAACAGAACTCAGAAAATCAACTCTGAGCTACAGTTTACAGAGCCAGATATGAGATTAGGTCAGGCATAAGCAGGATGAGCTGTTGTCACATTACATAAGAGGCATTTATGCATGTTTCATTTTAAGTCAATTATAGTCATATCCATTTAAAGTAAGTTGAGGCCAGAATTGTGTTCAGAATTGGTTCAAATGATACAAATGCACAATTCCTTAAAACTCTAGTATTAAGTAAGTATATCAGTGTTACAGACATGGAATTGGGATGGGCTTTAATTGCTTAGACTTGACTAATACCAACGTTTATGATCATAGAATCGATTCTTAATAAAATAAATATAAAGTTATACTAATAATAGTGGTACATTATCAATGTTGTGGGCCTGATTTTTTGTGTTTTGTTGCTGTTTTAGAGAAGGGAAACCATTTCAATAGAAAAATACACTTCAGTAAAAGTAAAATCATAAAGTGAAAGCTTTATGTTATTGCTTTAGTGTTAGACAAATGAGCTCATCCAAGTTACAAGTATTCTCAAGTAAGTTTAGATAGGAGCTTTTCCTGACCAGCACAGTGACCGTAGACCGTATATTAGGAGTAAGCAAAGCGAGTGCAGATGCGGAAGAAGCCGAATTGAACATAAGATAGCTGCCAAACCTTATGGGCATTTGGTTGCTAAGACATCTGATCTAAGGCCAATCCTTATGGCTCATATGGTATTATAATTCAAATAAACATCAGAAACACAGAGCGCTAAACTTAAAGCGCAAAATGGCGAGTGTGACATAAGCGGTTAATGAGCTAGGAGTTGACTTTTTATAACTAAATAGGAGCCTGCTATTGGGCTTCTTTGAGCTAGTAGGTTAGCACTGTCCAACTATGTACAGTCTTTGACGGTGACACACGCACCGAGAGATTCAAGAGCCAATAAATTATCGCTACAAGAAACAACAAAATCACAGTGCAAAGTGAAGTCAACTGTGCACAAGTGAGGAAAAGAAAAGTAATGTATAAGCGCTTGAAGAATGTTTTTTGACAGTATGTATCGACACTCAACAACTTTTCAATGTAACTTTTATCTGTCAGTTAGCGTACCAGTTCCCAGATTATCGAGCCGTCTCATCGCTGATATCAAACGCCTTCATTTACACGGCATAGTAGACCATTGTATGTTTGTTCTTATTTGTGGTTACGGATGTAGAGAAATTGTCAGAAGATTCACACATGACACATCACATAGAATACAACAAGCTCCAGGCCAAAACATCAGCTGAGCATAAAGACCCCAACTATCAAAAACTATCTGCAAATGTAAGCACAAGGAGAAGTAACATCCAGGCAGTATTTTCGGATCAGAAAAACGCAATAACACTCCCCCATTAGCTGCTAATCATAGCTTGAGCTGTTTATGGTTTCCAATTTGTTAATATCACTGTTAATATTATCGTGGATAGATAGCTATGGCCGACGCAGGACTCTACAAGGACTCTGTGTATCCATGTTATGACTATGATATTTTCTGATCGTCTCTTGATGTGACACGTATGCCTATCTGTGTGAGACGTATCTGTGATGTAACTATGACTATACTGTATAAACTATGTCCTGACTTTGTTCTGTCTGAAAAAACTGAAACAACTGAAACCTGATGGAAACCTAATAAACTTCCAGAAGCTCTGGTGCGCCACGATCCGTCTCTGTGTGGTTAATCATCATTATATTAGCAGTTATTGAAAGTCTAGGTACAGGCATGGGAATTCTTTACCTGGTAGTACGTCCGTATGTGGCGCACCAGCACTGTGAGGTTGTGGAGCCGCAGGGCCACGTCGTTGTTCACGTTTTTGCTCAGTCTCTGGTGGGTGGGGCTCGGGTCGCTAGAGAGATGCATAAAAATATATATCACACACAGTTTATACAGGCAATGGCATTCATCAACTAAACTGGGACATAATGTGCAAAAGAGCAAGACACCATCGCTGAATAAATGTTTCCCCTCCTCATTTTCACACACGTTTCATGCACTCTAGAGTGATCTATGTTCTCCTGCATTCAAGTCAGAATTTCTATGATGATCCCTGCTTGCAGTCAACATGTTCTTAAAAAACAGACAACGTTCGGATAAAATCACATCAAATAAAAGTCAGCATCTTTGAAAAGGTTACATCTTTTATTAATTCCAGTGTTGCATCACAAGTTACAGAACAGTAGTAATGGGGAGCACACAACATAAGTATAGCACATTCAAGTATAGCACAACTCTATACTTTTTTCTACTTCTTTTATTAAACTAAACTAAAGTATAAAGATATAAAAAGGTATAAACCTGTATACTCCAGTGCAATGAAATATATATATATATATATATCACACACTATATAAGTATTCGGCCCCCTTGAACCTTTCAACATTTCGCCACATTTCAGGCTTCAAACATAAAGATATAAAATTTTAATTTTTTGTCATGAATCAACAACAAGTGGGACACAATCGTGAAGTGGAACGAAATTTATTGGATAATTTAAACTTTTTTAACAAATAAAAAACTGAAAAGTGGGGCGTGCAATATTATTCGGCCCCTTTGCGCTAATACTTTGTAGCGCCACCTTTTGCTGCAATTACAGCTGCAAGTCGCTTGGGGTATGTCTCTATCAGTTTTGCACATCGAGAGACTGGAATTCTTTCCCATTCTTCCTTGCAAAACAGCTCGAGCTCAGTGAGGTTGGATGGAGAGCGTTTGTGAACAGCAGTCTTCAGCTCTTTCCACAGATTCTCGATTGGATTCAGGTCTGGACTTTGACTTGGCCATTCTAACACCTGGATACGTCTATTTGTGAACCATTCTATTGTAGATTTGGCTTTATGTTTTGGATCATTGTCCTGTTGGAAGATAAATCTCCGTCCCAGTCTCAGGTCTTTTGCAGACTCCAACAGGTTTTCTTCCAGAATGGTCCTGTATTTGGCTCCATCCATCTTCCCATCAATTTTCCCTGTCCCTGCTGAAGAAAAGCAGGCCCAAAGCATGATGCTGCCACCACCATGTTTGACAGTGGGGATGGTGTGTTCAGGGTGATGAGCTGTGTTGCTTTTACGCCAAACATATCGTTTTGCATTGTGGCCAAAAAGTTTGATTTTGGTTTCATCTGACCGGAGCACCTTCTTCCACATGTTTGGTGTGTCTCCCAGGTGGCTTGTGGCAAACTTTAAACGAGACTTGTTATGGATATCTTTGAGAAATGGCTTTCTTCTTGCCACTCTTCCATAAAGGCCAGATTTGTGCAGTGCACGACTGATTGTTGTCCTATGGACAGACTCTCCCACCTCAGCTGTAGTTATCTGCAGTTCATCCAGAGTGATCATGGGCCTCTTGGCTGCATCTCTGATCAGTCTTCTCCTTGTTTGAGATGAAAGTTTAGAGGGACGGCCAGGTCTTGGTAGATTTGCAGTGGTCTGATACTCCTTCCATTTCAATATAATTGCTTGCACAGTGCTCCTTGAGATGTTTAAAGCTTGGGAAATCTTTTTGTATCCAAACCCGGCTTTAAACTTCTCCACAACAGTATCTCGGACCTGCCTGGTGTGTTCCTTTGTCTTCATGGTTCTCTCTGTGCTTTAAACAGAACCCTGAGACTATCAAAGAGCAGGTGCATTTATACGGAGACTTGATTACACACAAGTGCATTCTATTTATCATCATCAGTCATTCAGGACAACATTGGATCATTCAAAGATCCTCACTGAACTTCTGGAGTGAGTTTGCTGCACTGAAAGTAAAGGGGCCGAATAATATTGCATGCCCCACTTTTCAGTTTTTTATTTGTTAAAAAAGTTTAAATTATCCAATAAATTCCGTTCTACTTCACAATTGTGTCCCACTTGTTGTTGATTCATGACAAAAAAATTTAATTTTATATCTTTATGTTTGAAGCCTGAAATGTGGCGAAATGTTGAAAGGTTCAAGGGGGCCAAATACTTTCACTGTATATATATATATATATACGCAGATAACTTTTTGATTAAGAAATGTTTCCACAGAACAACTTGGACACTTGGATCACTAAACAGGCTGCATTTCTCCCACACCGTATCTCTATTTAAGGGCGACTATTGTGCTCGAGAAGGATTTAAAGGAGCAGGCTGGCTCCATGTTTAGCTTGTGTCAGACTCATTAGCATTTAAACAGAAGGGGGAGGGCTGTCTGTCCCACTGTGTTGCTGTCATGACGTCACTCAGATTGGAGCAAGATCCCAAGACACACTGAGCCAAACCCAGGCTTTAAGCAGATTCACTTTGGTCTTTTCTAGTATTTTTGTGGCTTTAGAAATGTTTTTAAGTGGTTACGTGCTGTTTGAGTCCTGAGTGTAAAGCTTCAGGTTAACTTGAACAGTGCATTTACTATTTTGTGGCAAAAATCGTGACATGTCAGAACATTCAAATATCGTTAACTGGATCCCAAAGGTTCTGAGCTTCAGAACGAGGTATAGCACGAGTAGATATTGGTGGATCTGAATTTAGTTGGATGAAAAGAAAAAAAGTTTTTGATCTAAAATTATTGATGAGTTAATGATTAAGATTAAAAGATCCTTTATATGTCCCACAATAGGGAAATTTCAGTTTTGCATAACAATTTGCAGAACAGTGGGAAAGAGGAGCACACAACACAAGAGAGGTGAATTTTATGTATAGCACAACAACAACAAAAACAAACACAATCTCTATGGATTAACCTGCTGCATCCCTACTTATATCCACTACCACACGTACTCACAACATTAAGGATCGAAAGGATTTTGGAACATTCAATGAATGGAACACAACAACAACAACAATGTATTGTTGTATAGCCCTAAATCACAACAGCAGTCATCTCAGAGGACTTAACAAAACCATTGAAATCACCAACACAGATCAGAGAAGCAACAGTTAAGATACAAAATATACACATAGGTATTATTCCATAGGGAGATACCAATAATAATATTAATAATAATAATAATGCATCAGTTTTATATAGCGCTTTTTTGGACACTCAAAGACGCTTTACATGACATTATTCTTTCACTTAATACACAGTGATGATAAACAACTACTGTAGCCACAGCTGCCCTGGGGCACACTGACAAAAGCGAGGAAACCAGTATGTGCCATCGGCCCCTCCGACCACCACCATGTCCATGAATGTTGATAAATGTCCATACATGTTGTAGAATGTTAAAGTGTCCTGGATCATCACCACAGTTCTTCTAGTTGGACACTAACTGCCCAACAGACCCTCCTGCATCAGCAAGGAAAAACTAACAAAAGCCCAGTGGGGGAAAAAAGTGAGAAACCTGGGGGAGACCCACATATTGAGAAAGGGATCTGTTCCTACACGGACAGACTGGCTAATGATCCAGGACCTAAGCTACAGAACAAGGACCACAAGATAAGTTTGGAAAAGCTGTCCCTGATTTATGCAGTGGAGCAAACATGCAGATATATTTAAAAGACAGCAGCTGAAACAAGACCACCATGTGTGTTCCACCACTAATTATAGATGGTTTAATTCCCCGAAAAGCTGGGAATGCAGTGTTAGTTTTTCACGTCTCTGCTCTTTTATAGGAAAATGCACCAATAAACTCATCATTGTGAATAATCAGCTACAATAGCCCTGGTTTCTCCAATTTATAGGTAAATGTATGTCTATATTTAAGATAAAGTTGCCTTAACAAAATAAACAACAACCACTACTACTACTAATACTACCAACTAAATCCTAGTGCCCCTCCTCCTGTAACCCACTTTCCATTGACCTTCCCGGCTCCTAATCACACTCCAGTCACAACAGCCTACATTTGAATGGGTAGAGAACAATAGCACGAGATTAGAAATGTTTCGTTGGAGCAACATATGAACATTTGTTCCAGACGAGGAAGGGTTAAGAGGCCACAAGAAGAAGATATGTTTTAACTCTGATAATAAAAGCTGATGAGGTTAAAGCAAATACCTGAGGATTGGTTTTAAAAATAAAGAATATGGCATGATCACATGACCATGAGTCTCCTTTTTTAAAATCTAGTATAACTAATAACTCATCTCATTATTCATGCAGTCTTACATTCATACACAGTATGTTCTAAATCCCAGCTCTTGGACAGTATTCCAGGCCAGATTTGGACCGTGGACACTGCAAGTACCATTAGACCAAAATGAATCCACGTTTTTTCCCAAATGACAATTGATTAACACGTGAAAAGTGCGATGAGAAAAAAAAGTTAGTCTTACACTGTTCTATTAACAGTTTTTATTTAATTTTCTATATTTTAGAGCACAATAAACATCAAGACACTATAGAGTCTGACATAGCAACTCTTTTCTTCATTCCTGCCAAAATACCGGTGCAATGCTTATGAATTATTTGTGTATTACAGATGTGGACTTCTTACACATGCAAGAATATGCTTTGAAAGAGCTACATCTGAGGAGAACCCATCTCTCCTATCGCTGTTATTTTCTGTGTAATAGTGGTTTGTAAGATCGTCTGGCCCAAACCTAACTTTAGCTTTACAACTTTGCACAAGTGTCAAACCCCATTCCTTCACTTTGCACCACTACTTTCTCCCTGTCTGCATCCGCACATCTGGCACTGACGTTTTTGACCTGAAACGCGGCTCTGTCAGGATGTGGTCGCACACCAAAGCTGACAGGAAGCACTACAGATTAACTTTTTATACCGCTCACGTCGTCTCCCCACTTTAATAGCCAATAAACGTTATGTTGTAAGACTTGACTCACAGTTCGGGAGCATTTCACTTACATTTGCGTCATGATTTTGTGCAGGAAAACGCCATCGACGAGCTCCATAAACATGTTGACCCGGTCCTCTGATCCCGCCTCCTCGTTGGACGTCAAAGGCCCGAGAGTCCGCACCTAAAAAAAAAAAAAAATCATACACACAATTATTGGGACAATTTAAAAAGGGGCCGTTCACATCTGTACTACAATATTCAGCAATGTAATATCCAAACAGCAATAAACAGCAAACCATAGTGGTTAGCCATGCTTCTAAAATTAAGCGATTTTACCCAGAGTAAGGCAGTGATTGCATGTATTGCAAATTTGATGTCTGCAAACAGTCTTCTAGATTGAGAAAGCCTGCAGATAAATTGATCTGATCCATACAATGGCAAAATAAATAACTTTTTAAAGCTGGAGTACCTAATAATGGGCTGAGGCTGAAAGACAGTGGTACACTTGTTTTCACGTTTCTGTTAGCCATGATCCTAAGTTAATTAAATGGTTAGAAGTTATAATTACAGTTATAATACTGTGCTAAATGTGTGATAGTTTGAAAGTTACGTTCCCAGCTTTAACAAATAAAGAGCAATCAAATTCAATTCAATGTATTTTTTGTGTATCGCCCTAAATCACAACAGCAGTCATTACATTACAACAGTTCGGAGAATCAAACAGTTCAAACACATGACCAATGTCACAAAATTCAATTATGTTTTATATTTTGACCCAATAACCACGCCACTAGCTTTGTTACAGATTCATTTTAATGGCCGAGCAACAATTTCAATAATAATAATTCCAATAATAAATAAAGGTGCGATTCTTTATCAGTTGTTGTTTCACTCAGAATGTATAGTCCTGCTACATCAGGCCCACAGCAGCCCTGCTTCTTTAAAAAAAAAAACATTTGAAACATTTGTTCACTAGTTTAACGTACCCACCTCAGCCAATCGGCTGAATGGCATTTCTAAAGTATAACTACTGCTCTCAATTGGAAACAATACATTTTCATCTTGTGCCCATTTGCAGATGGAGGTCTTTCTTTGGAGGCAAAGCTTTCCCCTTTCATTTGCCAAAACCAAACATGTCCTTAAATCCAGCCTGGGATCTTATGGGGTCCCAGCTGATTGAAAATACAGCTTGTCCAAACCTACTCCTCGCATATTGACTTGAATGGACGACGAAGAAAAATATAGGCTAAGGTTTTCAAAGTTTTCATATTTAGTCTATGATCTATTCGGCTCACAGTCCATTATGTGTGTGGAGGCAAGTGGTTAGAGTGTCTTGCTCATCGGTGCAATACTACAGGCCCTTTGTAAGTGATGGATTTTGTGGGATTTTCAAAAGATATCCCAATGGTCATGTGTGTATTTTCCAGGTATTTTTTGCAGTCCTTTTTTTCTGATACCTCCTGACAAAGACACACAACCGTGACCTTTGCCAACAACGACAAAACATGGACAAAAACACCAAGAGATAAAAGCAAACCACAGACTGTGTCCAATGTCACATGGGCACAGGAGGTTGGTTAGCCAAGCTTCAAAGTTCTTTAAAACAGGTTAGAAATGGATACTTCCAAGATCATTGATAAAAGTGCACAATCGTTAGGCATCAAAGTTCTTGAAGAGTTTTTAAAAAAAAATTATGTTCAGTAACAAAACATGCACGCTGCTATTACATGTTTTTATTGTCATATTCTTTGAGTAAGTGTTCCCTGTTATGGAACTGGTTGCTTGTGTTGTTAAGTACATAAAAGAAAGCACTTCACTTTTAAGTCAGTCCCTTACTCAACTTTGACCAGAGTTGTATGTATACCATTCATGAGGCCTGGTATAGTTGTTTACTTATAATATTAAGATACAGGGCTACACTCCCCCCAATCAAACCAAGAGCAAAGTCTCATATTTATATGTAAATTCAACGTTAACCCAAGCTTAACTAGGACAGAATATATCGACATAAATAGATATGTGTGGGTCATTTTAACCAGGTCACACAGAAACAGGAAGTTCATGACCTGTGCACTGCCCCTTGTGTGCAGTTAAAGCCAGGGTTTCAATAAAAAAACAACAATTTATAACCGCGTCTAAAGGGAAACACAAGAGGCGAGGCTGCTCTGACTTTGTTGTGATGATTTATGCGTCTTTGTGAACGACTTTGGTTAGTTTCAAGTGGATTTTGTTTCAAACTAATCACTTTCCAGACTTACTACGTTCACTTGGGGTTTACACTGCAGCTGGGGATATGAGGCATCGACCCTTTACATGCATTTATAAGAGTATCCTTTGGCAAATATGTGCTTACCGTGGAAAAATAAATGTAGAATTACGCATAATAAATAATATGGATATTATACTTAATTTAACTTAACATATGTTATTAACGGGTGAAAAACCTGTTGAACTAGTGCTGCTGCAAGAAAAGTAAGCAAAGGGTTCGTTCAAGCGTGATCAAAACTGAAAGTGGTGGGAGGCAGCCGCGTTTGATTCTATTCCGAGCCAAATCTACAACTTCTGCAACGAGATATGTTTGATAAAAGGTTTGCAATGGTTATCCATGCTTCTAAGTTCATTAAAACAGGTTAGAAGCATGGCTAACCACATCTAAGGTAATACAAAAACAGGTTATAAATGGTTATCCATGCTTCTAAGTTCATTAAAACAGGTTAGAAGCATGGCTAACCACATCTAAGGTAATACAAAAACAGGTTATAAATGGTTATCCATGCATCTAAGTTCATAAAAACAGGTTAGAGGTGGTTATCCATGCTTCTAAGTTCATTTAAAACATGTTAGAGGTGGTTATCCATGCTTCTAAGTTCATTTAAAACATGTTAGAGGTGGTTATCCATGCTTCTAAGTTCATTTAAAACATGTTAGAGGTGGTTATCCATGCTTCTAAGTTCATTTAAAACATGTTAGAGGTGGTTATCCATGCTTCTAAGTTCATTTAAAACATGTTAGAGGTGGTTATCCATGCTTCTAAGTTCATTTAAAACATGTTAGAGGTGGTTATCCATGCTTCTAAGTTCATTTAAAACATGTTAGAGGTGGTTATCCATGCTTCTAAGTTCATTTAAAACATGTTAGAGGTGGTTATCCATGCTTCTAAGTTCATTTAAAACATGTTAGAGGTGGTTATCCATGCTTCTAAGTTCATTTAAAACATGTTAGAGGTGGTTATCCATGCTTCTAAGTTCATTTAAAACATGTTAGAGGTGGTTATCCATGCTTCTAAGTTCATTTAAAACATGTTAGAGGTGGTTATCCATGCTTCTAAGTTCATTTAAAACATGTTAGAGGTGGTTATCCATGCTTCTAAGTTCATTTAAAACATGTTAGAGGTGGTTATCCATGCTTCTAAGTTCATTTAAAACATGTTAGAGGTGGTTATCCATGCTTCTAAGTTCATTTAAAACATGTTAGAGGTGGTTATCCATGCTTCTAAGTTCATTTAAAACATGTTAGAGGTGGTTATCCATGCTTCTAAGTTCATTTAAAACATGTTAGAGGTGGTTATCCATGCTTCTAAGTTCATAAAAACAGGTCAGAGGTGGTTATCCATGCTTCTAAGTTCATTTAAAACATGTTAGAGGTGGTTATCCATGCTTCTAAGTTCATAAAAACAGGTTAGAGGTGGTTATCCATGCTTCTAAGTTCATTTAAAACATGTTAGAGGTGGTTATCCATGCATCTAAGTTCATAAAAAACAGGTTAGAGGTGGTTATCCATGCTTCTAAGTTCATTTAAAAACATGTTAGAGGTGGTTATCCATGCTTCTAAGTTCATTTAAAACATGTTAGAGGTGGTTATCCATGCTTCTAAGTTCATTTAAAACATGTTAGAGGTGGTTATCCATGCTTCTAAGTTCATTTAAAACATGTTAGAGGTGGTTATCCATGCTTCTAAGTTCATTTAAAACATGTTAGAGGTGGTTATCCATGCTTCTAAGTTCATAAAAACAGGTCAGAGGTGGTTATCCATGCTTCTAAGTTCATTTAAAACATGTTAGAGGTGGTTATCCATGCTTCTAAGTTCATAAAAACAGGTTAGAGGTGGTTATCCATGCTTCTAAGTTCATTTAAAACATGTTAGAGGTGGTTATCCATGCTTCTAAGTTCATAAAAACAGGTTAGAGGTGGTTATCCATGCTTCTAAGTTCATTTCAAACATGTTAGAGGTGGTTATCCATGCTTCTAAGTTGATAAAAACAGGTCAGAGGTGGTTATCCATGCTTCTAAGTTCATTTAAAACATGTTAGAGGTGGTTATCCATGCTTCTAAGTTCATAAAAACAGGTCAGAGGTGGTTATCCATGCTTCTAAGTTCATTTAAAACATGTTAGAGGTGGTTATCCATGCTTCTAAGTTCATAAAAACAGGTTAGAGGTGGTTATCCATGCTTCTAAGTTCATTTAAAACATGTTAGAGGTGGTTATCCATGCATCTAAGTTCATAAAAACAGGTTAGAGGTGGTTATCCATGCTTCTAAGTTCATTTAAAACATGTTAGAGGTGGTTATCCATGCTTCTAAGTTCATTTAAAACATGTTAGAGGTGGTTATCCATGCTTCTAAGTTCATAAAAACAGGTTAGAGGTGGTTATCCATGCTTCTAAGTTCATTTAAAACATGTTAGAGGTGGTTATCCATGCTTCTAAGTTCATTTAAAACATGTTAGAGGTGGTTATCCATGCTTCTAAGTTCATTTAAAACATGTTAGAGGTGGTTATCCATGCTTCTAAGTTCATTTAAAACATGTTAGAGGTGGTTATCCATGCATCTAAGTTCATAAAAACAGGTTAGAGGTGGTTATCCATGCTTCTAAGTTCATTTAAAACATGTTAGAGGTGGTTATCCATGCTTCTAAGTTCATTTAAAACATGTTAGAGGTGGTTATCCATGCTTCTAAGTTCATTTAAAACATGTTAGAGGTGGTTATCCATGCTTCTAAGTTCATTTAAAACATGTTAGAGGTGGTTATCCATGCATCTAAGTTCATAAAAACAGGTTAGAGGTGGTTATCCATGCTTCTAAGTTCATTTAAAACATGTTAGAGGTGGTTATCCATGCTTCTAAGTTCATTTAAAACATGTTAGAGGTGGTTATCCATGCTTCTAAGTTCATTTAAAACATGTTAGAGGTGGTTATCCATGCTTCTAAGTTCATTTAAAAACATGTTAGAGGTGGTTATCCATGCTTCTAAGTTCATTTAAAACATGTTAGAGGTGGTTATCCATGCTTCTAAGTTCATTTAAAAACAGGTTAGAGGTGGTTATCCATGCTTCTAAGTTCATTTAAAACATGTTAGAGGTGGTTATCCATGCTTCTAAGTTCATTTAAAACATGTTAGAGGTGGTTATCCATGCTTCTAAGTTCATTTAAAACATGTTAGAGGTGGTTATCCATGCTTCTAAGTTCATTTAAAACATGTTAGAGGTGGTTATCCATGCTTCTAAGTTCATAAAAACAGGTTAGAGGTGGTTATCCATGCTTCTAAGTTCATTTAAAACATGTTAGAGGTGGTTATCCATGCTTCTAAGTTCATTTAAAACATGTTAGAGGTGGTTATCCATGCTTCTAAGTTCATTTAAAACATGTTAGAGGTGGTTATCCATGCTTCTAAGTTCATTTAAAACATGTTAGAGGTGGTTATCCATGCTTCTAAGTTCATTTAAAACATGTTAGAGGTGGTTATCCATGCTTCTAAGTTCATTTAAAACATGTTAGAGGTGGTTATCCATGCTTCTAAGTTCATTTAAAACATGTTAGAGGTGGTTATCCATGCTTCTAAGTTCATTTAAAACATGTTAGAGGTGGTTATCCATGCTTCTAAGTTCATAAAAACAGGTTAGAGGTGGTTATCCATGCTTCTAAGTTCATTTAAAACATGTTAGAGGTGGTTATCCATGCATCTAAGTTCATAAAAACAGGTTAGAGGTGGTTATCCATGCTTCTAAGTTCATTTAAAACATGTTAGAGGTGGTTATCCATGCTTTCTAAGTTCATAAAACATGTTAGAGGTGGTTATCCATGCTTCTAAGTTCATTTAAAACATGTTAGAGGTGGTTATCCATGCTTCTAAGTTCATTTAAAACATGTTAGAGGTGGTTATCCATGCTTCTAAGTTCATTTAAAACATGTTAGAGGTGGTTATCCATGCTTCTAAGTTCATTTAAAACATGTTAGAGGTGGTTATCCATGCATCTAAGTTCATTTAAAACATGTTAGAGGTGGTTATCCATGCTTCTAAGTTCATTTAAAACATGTTAGAGGTGGTTATCCATGCTTCTAAGTTCATTTAAAACATGTTAGAGGTGGTTATCCATGCTTCTAGGTTCATTAAAACAGGTTAGAAGCATGGCTAACCACTTCTAAGGTAAAAAAAATAAAAAAAAATAGATTAGAAGTGGCTATCCATTCTCCTAAGTTCTGAGTTATTGTAATGTAACTTCACTCTGTTTATACTCATTGGAAATAGCCGGAGTGGCCATGATGCAGGACCCAGGGAAAAGTGCACTTACCCAAACCACGAGAGGCGACTCCATAAAAGTCGCCAGCATTTCGGACAGGGTAACATCCATGGCTGCACGGCATTAAAGAATAGAAAGTTACCATAAATCCTTTTTAAGTCAACAGTCAGTGGGTCAGAGGCTCGGGGTGGGACAAAGCCCGAGCGGAGGCATAGGTCCGCACTGCGATCACTTCCCTCCGCCGCTATTGTGTGTCGCTTTGTCCCCAAAAAGCGGACTTTTGGAATGAAATGGAAGTAAAATCCATGTAAACATAATATTAGGCCATTTGTGCGTGTAACCCAGTGTCTTTTTACTCAGAAAAATGCTGTTCGCGTGACCAGTTCCATGCGCAAAAAAACCCCGTGAAACACTTGATCCAAACTTCGCTGGGCAGTTGTTCGCGTTGTCAAGGATACGCCACTCGCACCGTAAAGTGGAAAAAACAGACGTAAAATTATTGAATTCAGCGATGTTGTTTTTAAGTGATTAAGAATTTATTCAAATAAAACAGACGCCATTCCTGTAACATTTCACGCGTTGTGCGTTCGCAGCAACATCTCTGTCCTTCTACCTCTCTCTCTCTTCGCCCGTGTGTTTCTCCTCCATCAACCTGGCTGCAGGGTTGCCAGATTGGATGAACAAGCGGAGAACGCCTTTGAAAATACGCAAGGGAAGTTTTTTTTGTAAAGCACAGTTCATGCACAAGGCAACTCAAAGCTTTTAACAAAACAAGACAGAAGCCTTAAAATCAGGCAGAAAAAACATCAATAATCACAATTTCATTCATATTTTTTATATTTTGTTTTGATTGAGTTTTCACTCAAAAAAAGACAATAACAAAAAATAACAAGATAAAAATGTATTTTTTTTATTGCCATTTGTATTTCTAGTACAAAAATAGACACATACAAACAGTATATTATTTCGTATTTTGTGAAGAATTTTTTTTTCCTATTTTTCTTTACTTTAATAGATAGCATTCTTTACATTTATGGGATTTGGTATCCTGTTCCCCATAACCAATGGCCCTGTTCAATATGTTTAAATCTCTGATTTATTGTTGGCGAATGGAATTGAATCATTTAAAACATATCAAGTTAAACATGGGATGGATATTTAAAAAAAATACATTCATGTATGTAGTGTTAACAATTTGAAATTATTTACACCAAAATCACCAAACTATTACTAAGAGAAATACCCAACATTGAATTATTGATGGCTTAATTTGGGAATAGAATTATTTCCGGCCGTATCCCTTGTTGAAAGTCAAACTAGAATCCCTGGACAGTGTCACATGAGAAGAAAAAATTATCCAAATCCTCTGTCACCAACTCACAGAACCCACAAATGTCCACATCCAATTTTAAATCTGCGCCCCAGGTATTAATAGGTTTATAAAACTTTGATGATTTTTAGGAACATGGATGGATGACAGGAATTATATTTATTTTTTTCTTGAAAGAGAGAAGATATTATGCATTATGAATAATGCATAATGTTGAGAGAATTGCTAACAGAGTTATCAAATAAGCAGTATTGAAGGAATTTGTTGTTACATTTGAAGTCAGTAAAAACTTTTACATCTTTGTAAAGTCCGCAGAGGCGACTGCTGTTGTGATTACAGCTCCACAAAAATAAACTGAATGGAATTGAAAATGAATTAAAACCAGATACTGCTATCCACTCACGGTGGCTGAGTGGATAGCACTCTCGCCTCTCAGCAAGAAGGTCCTGGGTTCGAATCCCGGTCGGACCAGGGCCTTTCTGAGTGGAGTTTGCATGTTCTCCCCGTGTCTGCGTAGGTTTCCTCCGGGTACTCCGGTTTCCCCTACCACTAAAAATATGTCCAATAGTTCTGGCATGTGCCTCCTGTACTGGCCCCGCTCCCATCTCTGTGTGGAGTGAGAGACAAATGCCCAAAAATTAACAATTGTAAACCGCTTTGAGACTCTGATCTGCAGTGAAAAGGCGGTATATAAATAAAAACTTACTTACTTACTTACTAAAATATTTTTTTTTTAGTCTTATTATCAGGATCTTCAACTTTAAAATACTCAAAAAATGAACACTTTCATGGCGTGAAACAACGGCGCCTAGAAACAATAAACCCAACTACGTTATAAAAAAATTCGACTTGGCAACTATACATTGGTGAGGCTGACGTCATCTTCAGGCAAACCGAAAAGGCCAAAGAGTGAAGCAAATCAAGAGGACTGAGATTTTTTTTTTTTTTTTATCAATTAAAGCCAAATAATATCTGTAACGTTAAATTTATTCGACAACTAACTTTAAATGATGAATAAGTACATGGATGGATGTATTTTGGGCTATGTAAGCTTGTCAACCAAAACGAGAAAACGCGAGCAGTTGTTGTCGTTTCAGAGAAAACTACTGAAGGCAAATTAATAGACACACATGTTTTAAAAGTTAACCACACCCAGCATTAGTCTACAATACCGTTTAGGTGTCGGTTTTATATATATATATATATATATATAATATATATATATATATTATATATATATATATATATAATATATATATATATTATATATATATATATATATATATATATATATATATATATATATATATATATATATATATATATATATATATATATAATATATATTATAATAATATATATTATATATATATATATATATATATATATATATATATATATATATATATATATATATATATAATATATATATATATATATATATATATATATATATATAATATATATATATATATATATATTATATATATATATATATATATATATATATATATATATATATATATATATATATATATATATATATATATATATATATAATATATATATATAAATATATATATATATAATAATTAAATTCACGGGCGCAATAAATTTAAGAGTCAAACAAAAGATGCATATATATATATATATATATATATATATGCATCTTTTGTTTGACTCTTAAATTTATATATATATATATATATGCATCTTTTGTTTGACTCTTAAATTTATCGCGCCCGTGAATTTAATTCTCTTGCTTTTTTAAGACTCTTTGACGTTTGAACAGGTTGCTGACGGTCGGATCAAAGTTTAGATTAAACGTTATTTAATAGACCAGTTGAGTAAAGAGCCAATAAACACGTAAAGGCATGTCTGAACTTTGAATAGATAATGTTTTGGTTTGGCACGGCCTTTTCTTTATGGAATATGCATAAACCATTCACAGAAGTGGTGGTGGATGGAACCATGGAGGCCTAAAAGTTGGTATGATACTTTCTGGTACAGCAACGAATATATTTAACCCTTTGCTATCGCCTGACTCATTTCAGTTTTATTCTTTTACATAATTTACATCATATGAATGTAACACTACACTATGCGCATGAAGTTAGAAAGAGGCGCCATCGTGTGGACATAAGCCGTATCGGCATATAAAATAATCCAGAAAATGTTTTCCATTTTTAGTTAGAACAGGCATGACCCAACAAAGGCTTGTGGGCCAATTGCCGGCCTCACATACAAACTACCATTGACATCATAAATATAAGTTCACAGTGTCATCCAGCCAACTTAAGCACCAATGTATGCATGATGTGCCTCGTTGTAAAGTTCATAACCTCTGGAATCCAGTTGTTGACTGTATACACTGACAACATTATGACTGGTGTCTTCACTCAACTTCAGCTCTGTCAAATTGATATTGACATAGCACACTTACCTTTGAAGGTCAGAACCAACGAAAACAGTTTTGCAATCCATGTTGTCGCCTCATGGGGCAGTTTTGGCAAGCTTAAGTGACCCTTTTACTAAAAAAGGTTTTGGCATCCCTAGGTTAGAATCAAAAGAATGCATCTCACATGGAATGATATACGTGTTGCACTTCAAATAAGACTAAAGGTGAGAGTCCCATTGGCAAAATTGGTCCAAATCTGGTCATCCAAGTACATGTGCCTCTTGATCAAGCTATTTGTGACTTATGCAGTAAACCATTTTAAAAGTAATGATTCCATACAACAAACAAAGTAGTAATAATTTATACCTTTAAAATAATTATAACCCGGTACTTTTTGGCAACATAATTTTTTTCTATAACAATTTCCTCTTTGAAATTTCTTTAGAGCCAGCACAGCACAGCTTAGTTTTAAGATCATCAGCACAAGAAAATAAATGGCCACAGTCCTTAACTATGAATCAGCTATTTATTTATTTATTGTGAATATTCATACAAAAAGTTGATTCTTTCAAGAACAAGACGTGACAAGAGAAAGTGGTTTCAATTACATTACATTCAATAGATAAATTCACCGAGCTTTGTGCCCATTGAATCAGCCTCCTGAACCAAAGGCTGATCATGAAGGAGTAAAGCCAGGTATCCTATTGGTGCATTATGTTTTCATTATAATCTATTTTTCCATTTTACAAATATATAAATGCTCTACACAGTGATATAACAGTGGTCAGGCCTACTTCAGTAATAATACTTAATTGTCTTCATAAACCAGGCACACGCACATTCATTTCTATACACTCACAAAATCACTCACATTCTAAAATACATCATAAAGCCAGCGTTTTTCAAGCTGGGAAGAAGGACACAGCTAAAATAAAACATACACATTGCTTTGTCTCTTTGCTCCTGAGCCCAATTGAAAGAGTTGTCAGGCAATTCAAAAAGCTCCATATTGTGCTTGGATTCATTTGTAATACTTTGGAGGGACACGATTTGTATTTGAAAACTTGAACTAGTGGGATATGAGTGGGTTTTTTGGCAGGTATGTCTACACAATGATAGAATGCTTGGATTAGGTGTCTACAGTCGCTCTCTGCTGGCAACAGTAGGGAATAGTGAACGTTGGAATGTCAAATCAGCCGCATCGTTATTAGAAACATGCAGTTTTAGAAATTGGAACAAACTGAAATATTATTAAAATTGAAAAAAGAAAGTTATTCTGAAAGTTATTTCATTGCCAGAATTTAACTCTTCCAAATATATGAGATAAATGTGAGTAGATTTGTTTAAAATGTGACACAAAGAGCTCAATCATATCTTACCATAATTCTGTTAAAGCATGGGAAAATATATTAGCTTGTGCTTTTTCATATTGACAGGCAAAAAACAACTTTGAATCAGTTTGTTGTAACCTTTTCTTTCAAAACTCATTAAAACTTGGGAGAAGGTTGAAATATAAACATCTCAAATAAAACTTTTTAAAACCGGAAACTTTAAACCATTTGGGAATGTTGCATTAAATTGTCAGACTTTTTAAATTGCCAATACGCACAGAAAAACCAAACACTTTAAAACACAGTAAAAATGTATAAAAAGCTAGTGTTCTCCTGAAATAGGCGCTTAAGACAAATGTTTAGTATTACGCAGGCTAACAGTAGTCCCTCCAGTCAGATTAAGTGTAGTCGCAGTGTTTTCTTCATATTAAAAAGGGAAAAAGTAAAAAAAAAGTTAACGTAAAATTCCAAATATGTGCCATCTATTTCACACAGCTATGACGGACTTCTACAGTTTGTATGTAAAAAAAAAAAAAAAAAAAACTAAAGTGTACGAAAAAAAATGTATGTCTTTGATTTCAATGAAATGTCTGTAGGATAAAAAACGACATAAAAAGGACCAATTCATATCAAAAAAGTCCGATCTAACTAGTGTTCCCAACTATATTACAAGTTGTATGGTTTTCCCAATAAATTATGTGTAAAAGCATTTAAGTCCCATATGCTTTGAATATATAGAAAAAAATGTCATGATCTTACCAAAATGTACAAAATCAAGACTTTTTCATTGAGGCACAATGGGAGGAAATAATATCGTAGTGTCATTGAGCAAGACGTCAGCATTTGGAAGAGATTACAGCTTTAAAGCGTTGTGGGAAAATTACAGATAGACTCGTGAGGAGGAGCAGGGGAAAGATTCACATAAAACCAAACATTGAAGAGAATGTCCTGGTCCATTGCTTTTCATAACAAACAGTTACAGTGGTGTGTGTGGAAGACAATGTGATATAGCGTTTTGAACGATTGGCAAATTTTGCTCGGGCTCCCTGATGGCATTCTTAATCTTTAATTTGCGTTTTTAAATTCCCAAAATTCACACAATATTTAGCTCCATGATCTTAATTACATAGAAGCTTGAAATTACTTCCAAGACTCTGATCGGAGTTGCCATTTATTCCTGTATCTATATTCCAACCTTTTAATCCTTGGGCTCTGTCCGTGTAATTGAACAGGCTTTATTTGAAAATGCAGTGACTTAGGTTTAAATTCAAAACTATTTTTTTCAGGTTTATAAGTTCAAACTACATTTGCCCACGTTGGTGACTCTAAATCAAACGGTCTTCCATAGATGTGCAGCAGCAGTAAAACAGGTCCAGTTTATGATCCAGAAATGTGTGCTCGTGTTACACTCGAGCTTTACCGTACTTTAGAGCAGTGATTCTCAAGCTGTGGTTTGCATGCCCCTTGGTGCTTATGTTTCATCACACTGAAATCAATGCGGACAGCAAAGCGGGTAACTTGGTAATGAAGAAAATTTCTTAAGACAAAAGCCAAACAACTTTACCATGTTTGTGCTTATGGTATAGTATAGGTGTAGAATGATACATTAGAGAATCACTGCTTTAGCGCACTTTTTAACACTGCAAAACGTAAATATCTGTTTAAGTTGACTCCAAAATATGAATCCTGTATACGTAGTTCAATCACTTTTAATCCAATTTCTTTTTTGTAGTTAATTTATATTTTAATAATATGGCATTAGAGCAATACAGCATTTTTCTAGACTTGCAAAAACACTTGTAATAAAGTTTTGATTGTTTTCTATCTTAATCAAACAAATAGATAATCTGTAATTTCCCCTTCAATCAACTCATTATATTTTGGGAGTCTATAACGAGGACTAAAACACATTATAAACTAAAAATGACATGCATTTGAGGACCATGAAGGTGAAAAGCGGCCTAAGCGGACCTATAAGTTACAAGATATTGATGTGTTTCTGCCTCAATTAAACCAATTTATGTCTAAACAATGCCTACAAATCTTTCTCCAAGGATAAACAATTTGGAAGCATTCAAAAAGGTTTAAAAAGGTTAAAACTACTCAAATCAAGTATCATATTTTGAATTCAAGTCACAGATATAGCGTTTTGCAGTGAACGACTCAACCCTATGAAGTTTTCTGTTAGCATTAGTATTAGCGTAGCCAGGAGCCAGGCACCCACTGCGGCTCCGTGTCCAGTTTGTTGATGAGTCTCAGGAGTTCGCTGAAGGCCTTTTCCTGGTCCGTGTTCACGATGATGGCGTCAAACAGGTGTCCGCTGCTTTGCTCCATCTCGCGGGCTTTTTCTATGATGTCCCTCAGCTCCTCAGGCTGCAGAGAGAAACCCAACCAACATGTTTAAGCACATTCAGCACAAGAACAGTTTACAGCTGTCAAATAATTCAAAACAAAGATAGTGACATACAGTCTACAGTAGTAACATTGGGGAGAGTGATAAAACATTTTTTATTAAGAACACAGCGATCCATAGACAACAGTCCATGTTAAATCTATGATGACGTATACCTCAAGTATTTATATAGTGCCAGACCAGAGAGACAAAGCGCGTTACCATTGCAGTGGGCAATTGTTTCTCACTCTACACTGAGGGGAGCCAAGTCACCATACAGGACGCACCAGATTTATTGTACATGTTTTTAGTGGTTGGGGAAACTGGAGCACCCGGAGGAAACCTACCCACCCGGACAAAAGCTACCCACCAGTGACTAACCACCCCCTTCCAGATAGCTCGCCAAAGAACTTAGAAAAACGCAAATCAAATAATATACTGAATATTTGATGATAAATAATGACTGTCCCTGGTATGAGGCTCATCTCATCACTAAATCACCTCAATTAAATCACTTTAAAGGAGTAGTAGGAGTTTCGTCATGGTAAAGTAGCTCTCTGGGTGAATCAGCTTGGAGAAGCCTGGTTTACACTCCGGCATACAGTGCATTTGATTAGATTTGATCCCACTCATCATTAGTAGTTGTGTGAAGCCATTTACTGTCAAATAAACGCATTTTCTATTTTTAATTTATAGCAGAGCTGCTTGGGAGAGAGCAGTTCATGCAAGGCATCCCAGGAATTTACAGCAACTGGAGGCTTTTTGCCAAGAAGCTTTCCCATCAGAGGATAAAGAACCTCATGCACAACAACCACAAAAGACCCAAAGTGGTCATAGATGATAAGGAGTAATACATGCTACTGAGAACTGGGGGGTGGAGACTTCTGATCAGTATCAGAAGGAGATTCTGTTAACAACATTTGAAAAATGAGTCCGGCAAAAGTGTTTGAGTTATCAGTCCATAAAAATATTACAGTTTCTGCTCGAGTGTGCACACTTTCAAGCACAACTGAACCCCGAGTTAGGAAAGAAGTCTGAGACGTAGAATGAGGAGAAAAGTAGTAAACATTAACCTTGGGGTTTTTGTTTTCTTTCGCCAGCAGGGCGCGCAGTCGCTCTTGTGACGGAGGAGCGATGAAGATTATGTAAGGTTTTAAGTCTGAACTCCGCAGCACTTTCAGAGCCTGAGGACAGAAGGACAAAGGTCTCAAAACATGTGAAATAAATAAATGTGTAACTTCCTCTTTGAGTGACAGCTCAGACCTGAGTGTGCAGGCAGAGCACACAGATCTTTCCAGTGTTGATGACCTGTCGCACAGAGTCTGTGCTCGTCCCGTAAAGATTCTTATCAAAGTCTCCAGACTCGATCAGCTTCCCTGAACACAGACCACCACAAACGCTGCTTTAACAGGATTCTAAACGTGACAAGACCTGAATCCCGTCAAAAACACACATTTATATACATGTTCTGTGTGGCACAACATTGTTGTGAGAGAACAATTGGAGCGCAGGGGAGAGCATTATCAACACACTCCTGATTGGCTCTTTGGGCACTATTAGACAAGTTCAATAGATATTCAAAGTCAATTTATATTCCCAGATTATGGATCAGCCACAGACAAGAAAAATATCTACTTCTGTCGTTTTTCCCCCGTTTGGCCACTGGATAATTCAAATAGTCTTTTTTTAGATATTTTAATAATGACGTTGGGCTTCTTCGCCTTTGTGTAGGTCACCCACTTATTCCAAAAAGTATCCGATCACTTTGTCATTTATAACCGCCATCTCTACTATTCTATACACCTGAATTAACATTGCTTCTAATTTTGTTCCCTGTCACATTCTTACCAGCAGCTAGCTCCGCCTCAAAGGTTTGTTTCGACACAAAATGATAATCACGGCCGCTCAGCTCGCCGTCGCGCCGGCTCCGTGTCGTGTCTGAGGAAAACAATCATTAGCCTCAGTTGAAATTTAGTGGATCTGAAACATAACTGAGAAGATCTGTCTTTACTGGACCTAGCATTTCTTTGGTCAACTACAGCTCTAATAACATAATACTGTTGCTCTATTCCAGTCGAGAGAGCTGATTGGTCGAGAGGTCTCTTACGGGGCACGGCTCCGGAGAATCTGTCTGGATGGTTGTTGAGCAGTCGTGTCCTCAGCTCGCTCTGTCCGCAGCTCGCAGGTCCGATCAGAGCGATAGGGCGCTTCCTGTTCGCCGGCTGATGATACAACGCCATCTCCTCATACGTCAGGATCTCGTCACTTTCGACATCTGCCACACAACCAGTGTTGGGCACGTTACTTTGAAAAAGTAATTAGTTATAGTTACTAGTTACTTCTCCCAAAAAGTAACTGAGTTACTAACGGAGTTACTCCACTATAAAAGTAACTAGTTACCAGTAAAAGTAACTATTGCGTTACTTTTTCGTTTTGTTCTGGAACATAATGTGCACTCGAGGTGCGCATTTTTACCTTTAACCTCAGTGAGTCTGAAATATTGCCAATATTTCCATCTAGAAAAGTCTGTTTTGCTGCTGAAGTCCTGTTCACTCTTCATCTCTCTCTGTGCTGTAAGCACTAAACACCAACACCCGCCACTGTGAATGTGGAAACACCGGTGAAGCACTGACTTCAGTCCAATCAGATGAACATATACATCATATAAATCAAGTGGACAATTTGTTTGGCTACAGCAGAATATGTTTCATGGCCGCATTGTTTGTTCATACAAAACGCAAAACTATGAGTTATGGGTCTTACCTAAATAAATGACCTGCACAGACCACTTCAGTTCAGACCAGTTCTGTGTTTAAGTCCAGATAATAGTTTGAGCGTAGATATGTAATCCTCCGTTTGGAAATGAGTTTTAAAAAGTAAAACAAAACGCGTGTGTCCTCCGTAAACTACTCTGTTTTGCTAGGTGCAGCCGAGTGTATCCAATTTCTAAAATCAACTGTGTTACACTTCACCTCTTTCTTATCATTCCTATAGTCATTGAAAAATTACCGTAAGTGCATTTTAAATTATCTTAAAATGTGTTATATGTATGTTAGCCAAACTTGTTGCAGCCCTTAGCAGATAAACCAGTAAGAGAAAGGAGCTTTCAGATGGAATTGTATGCAGCCTTCTGCGCTCACATGCGCTCCTCTGAGCCCTCACGGTGATACAAGCTGTGGTTGAGCGCGACTAAGACCCATATTTATTTCAAAAACACAATTTATGACCATCCTCTCAACTGTAGACATGTGGATTGTAAAGGAAATATGTTTTACATCAGCCAATAATTGCTGAGAGGTTTTCTCATCCTCCCTTCTCTCATGACAACACGCGCACGAGTCCTATCATGAAGTAAAAAGATAAGTTCATTGTGCGTCTTTAGTAACGCGCAGTAACTAGATAACGGCGTTATAGTTACAGTCAAAGTAATTAGTTAGATTACTCGTTACTGAAAAACTAGTAACGCCGTTATTCCCATCACTGCACACAACAGTATGACAATACAGCAGCTTATAACAAAACAGCAGCTCATATCAGTAGCCTAACAAAGGCCTGAATTATACTTTTTACAATTTAAAGAGCAAATATGCATTATTTTGTTGGGCTGATATTACTCAAGTGTCAAATTACTCTTCCTTCATCTCCTTTGTGCTTAAGACAGCACGTCAAAAGTTGTTCCTCTGCAAAAAACTCTCCAGCCTATATTTCACGCAGGACAATGCATCGGGAATCAAACCGAATTATGAATGATGAAGTCAAAGAACTGAAAATAAAATACAGACGTTTACCATCGTTCCTGTGCGTGTTATAAAGCATCTTCTTCCTCTTCTTTTTCTTCTGTTTTGCACACCATAATTTCCCTAGAAAATCATTAGAAATCATGTAAATAGTACAAGACATGGACAGAACAACTTTAGGTTAAGTGAAATGAGGCACACACCAGGTTTCTCTGGCTCTTTGTCTTCTTCTATTGTTTGTTTCATGGCTTCTCTTTGCTGCTGGAAATGTTTCCCTGTGACACAAAAAGTGAACAGGTTGCGCATGTCACAAAGGAATGTGTGAAAACAAACTTCCGAATTCCAAAATAAGTTATAGCGCCAGCGGGAATTGCATTATTATGGACTACAGCAAGTTTATCATCCATGGAACAATATAAACATTTTCAAACATACAAGGACAAGGTTTGTAAAAGCCCAAACTTTGACTGTATGAGCTTCACTTTTGTTACTCAAAGTATTATCCCTGGTGAGCAGCTTTATAAACTTCTTCAGCTGACCAACAGGTGATCAAGGGGATACTAAACTGTTTGGTTTTAATGCCGTCCTAATTACCACTATATTAAGTCAGAGTTTCCTCAAAAAGACTAGGTCAAAAGGCAAGTCAAGTGGCTCAGGGAAAGCCGGAGTTTTTGGTTCAAATTCCTGTGTTTTTACTCTGTGAGAATAATGCTTTAAGCGGTCTTTTCTACCTGGCACTAGTCCGGCGAGCGGCTGGTTGTCCTCATCTCCGTCTCTGTACGCCTGCCACCAGTTTGGGTCGGCCTGGCTGATGATGTGGAGGATGTCCCCCTTTTGGAAGGACAGCCCCAACTCTCTGCAGGGGACGTACGGGTCATCCGAGGGGTCGTAGTCGAAATATGCTTTTACATGGACCTAAAGAGAAGAAACAATATTAAGGACTTTAAAGCACACATCTGGAACAGGCCAGGCCAGGCACTGTTCAATATGGCCTGGATTAAAAGGATTACACAGATTTGTGAATGACCTCTTTTTTATCTTATCCAAGTCACTTTTTCGATACCATTCTAGCAGGATTCCAGTGAACGCATGGATTAAAAAGAATGATTTACAATTAGACAACCTTTTGGAAGGACATATTTGAAACACAGTGGGAGGACAGTGGCTCACTTGGTGGAGTATTGGCCTTTGAGCCTAACAGCTAATTTCCACAGTAGGCGTTGACTGCGCGTAAGCATTGACTGCGCGTAACATTACTCGGCTGTATGTCCACTGGCCGTGCACGCAGGTCCGCGGCTTTTGAAGGTGTCCCTGTGTAGTCTATGGAGAAGTGTAAGGACAGTATGGGCCAGAGGATTGATGTAGAGCAACACAAATCACATGCATGTGTTTGTCTTCATGGTCTCTGTGCGCTGGTTTGGCTGGTTTAAAAAAAAAAAACAATGTCCAGAATCACTAAAACCTGCTGCTCCTGCGTGCGTGCGTGTGTATGTGTGCGTGCGTGTGCGTGTGTGGATGCAATCTAGAGCCAAGGACCGCTAGAATTATGTTTCCTATGTGTTTTGACTGGGAGACACGTTGCTGCGCGCACAAAATTAGAAATCCATCCTAAATTTGGCGCAGCCTCGCGTCATATGTCATAACGCATATAACACTAGTAGTGTAAATATCCCCATTGGTTAACATGTTAGGCACGTCTGCTGCACGTATAACTGTTGTTGTTGTATCCTTGGGCAAGACACTTAACACCACTTTGACTGAAGTCCCCACTGAAAGATCAAGGCTGTGCTGTCACCGACAGAGCCATGGATATTTGAAACAGTCAAACTAGTTCCTAACTCCACATCCTGCAGATGGCAAGGCAAGGCAAGTTTATTTATATAGCACAATTCATACACAAGGCAATTCAAAGTGCTGAACAAAATAAGAAAGCATTAAAATCATAAATAATCACAGAACATTAAAAAGAAAGATAAAAATATAAAATCCCTCAGTTGTAGCACAGCTAAACAGAACCGTCTTTAACCTGGTTTTAAACATTGTCAGAGAGGAGGCCTGTCTCACATCTTCAGGAAGACTGTTCCAGATTTTAGCAGCATGAATCTGAAAAGCAGCCTCTCCATGTTTAGTTCTGACTCTGGGCACTAACAGGAGTCCAGTCCCTGTGCTCCTCAGGGTCCCAGCAGGAGTCCAGTCCCTGTGCTCCTCAGAGTCCCAGCAGGAGTCCAGTCCCTGTGCTCCTCAGGGTCCCAGCAGGAGTCCAGTCCCTGTGCTCCTCAGAGTCCCAGCAGGAGTCCAGTCCCTGTGCTCCTCAGAGTCCCAGCAGGAGTCCAGTCCCTGTGCTCCTCAGAGTCCCAGCAGGAGTCCAGTCCCTGTGCTCCTCAGAGTCCCAGCAGGAGTCCAGTCCCTGTGCTCCTCAGGGTCCCAGCAGGAGTCCAGTCCCTGTGCTCCTCAGAGTCCCAGCAGGAGTCCAGTCCCTGTGCTCCTCAGAGTCCCAGCAGGAGTCCAGTCCCTGTGCTCCTCAGAGTCCCAGCAGGAGTCCAGTCCCTGTGCTCCTCAGAGTCCCAGCAGGAGTCCAGTCCCTGTGCTCCTCAGAGTCCGGGCTGGTTCATATGGGACTAACATGTCACTAATATATTTTGGTGCGAGGCCATGGAGAGACTTGTAACAAGAAGAGCTGCTTTAAAGTCTATTCTCTGAGCCACAGGAAGCCAGTGCAGAGACCTGAGAACTGGACTAATGTGGTCGTAGATAGCAGGATGTGGATCATCAGTCCAAAGGACACATTTTTACAAGTTTGCAAAAATGTGAAAATTCTTTCTTAAATGATGAAGAAAGAAATGCTGAATGTTTCCACTTTGCTATCAAACTACTAGCATAAAAAAAATCACCTACAATTTGAAATTTGGCATTCAATATTATAGTTAAGTGTGACTGATACTCACCACGGATTCTTTAACAGGAGGAGGCTTGCTCTGAGTGCTGGGAATGAGCACAAAGGTCAGGAGGCCGTGCATGTCGGCCTGAAACAAAAAGTGCACTTATATGAATGGGACCATCACTCACATTGTTTATGTAACACAAGAGAAGCGGCTCATAACTCAGCGCTGACCAACCAAATGTGGAGTCAAACCATGAAGTAATTTAGGAAAAAACTACCTCTATCTGCAAATGGATGTGTGTCAGTCCACTCATCCAGTCTGACCGTCTATGTCTCTCCCCAAGGTCTCTACTTTTATGGAATTTTTGCTGCTGAAGACTGGTTTTAGGACAAGGTCTGGGAGATTCATCCATTTTCCTAATTCCTGTAAATATTGGTTAATCTGTATTTATGGTTTGTTGCGTCTGGGACCGGCAAGACTGTATAAAACTGGTCCCATGAATAAGAAAAAATACATTTTAAATTGAATAATTATTTGTTATGGATCATCACTGTAATCTTTTAAGTCAGAACGACGTATGGGAATGGAGGGAATTTCTACGTTTTAGTTTTATTTCCACTCCATTGCAGGCTCATCTATGACAATCAAATATAAAATGTGAATATACAGTACAGACCAAAAGTTTGGACACACATTCTCATTCAATGAGTTTCCTTTCTTTTCATGACTATTGACTAGATTCACACCCAGGCTATGTAAGGGCCAGATGACCTGGCCTCCACAGTCACTGGACCTGAACCCAATCCAGATGGTTTTGGGGTGAGCTGGACCACAGAGTGAAGGTGAAAGGGCCAACAAGTGCTAAGCATCTCTGGGAAGTCCTTCAAGACTGTTGGAAGACCATTTCAGGTCACTACCTCTTGAAGCTCATCAAGAGAATGCCAAGAGTGTGTGAAGCAGTAATCAGAGCAAAAGGTGCTACTTTGAAGAACCGAGAATATAAGACATATTTTCAGTTGTTTTTTTAGTACGTACATAATTCCACATGAGTTAATTTTGATGCCTTCAGTGTGAATCTACAACAAGTCTGTACTGTAAATGTAGTTATATGAATATAGATGTACTTGAATGGATGAACGCAAATAATAATAATTTAAAATGTTATTAAATAAGCTTGAAATAAACTGCTGTCAACAGCTGTTGTTATTTGTCTGTGAGGAAAATATGGATTTGATCTGAATCCAATTTGATATCTAAAAAGGCTAAAATATTACAGCACAAAAAAAGTATTTTTTGGCTCAATATTTTTCAATATGAACATTTATTGTTTTAAAAAGATACATAATTCACTACATGCTGCTGTAAAAAAAAAAAAGTGTTTCAAAATTCACAATCAACATTTTAAAGGAATGGCTCTGTCCCCGATGTCACGATCCAAGGATAAGACAGAAAGGGTGGAGTGACGCATTGTGCCTTGGCTTGGGTGGAGGTAAAAACAATGCAGGACTTTCTTTTTCTCACTAGGTTTTTTGAGTTGTTCCTTGCTGGAGGGGGTCTAAGGACAGTGATTATCTGGGACATTTAAGCACATTTATAAACATTTATGGACATTGGTTATCCTGCTCCGATTTGTTGTTGATTTGACAACTTTGTTCCTGAGATGGCCAACAATTAATGTAATTGAATTGAAATTTTAATACTATGCGGAACCCATGTTTTGCCATTTTGATATAATATTGCTGTTCTTTTATATAAAAGGTAATAGAATGTGTTTTAGAGTCTGTATAGTTCACTTAACGACTACAATTAGCAGCTGTGTGACTACACTGTGACTCACAAGGATGTCAAAGACTTGGTTGACATCTTTCCCCCTGATCTCGATGCCGTTGATTTCTAGAATCTCGTCTCCTTCAGACAGGAGTCCACTCTTTTCAGCCGCTCCTCCGCGAACGATGCGACTGATCACAACACTCTCCATCTCGTTCCGAACAGTGGCCCCCTGCACATTGACAAAAAAAATAGATCATTAATGACTCTTCAGTCACAGATTTATAATGAAGGACAGGTTTGGTAAAAGACTTATTAAAGCTGGGGTACCCAACTATCAAACAAAATTTTTACTATGTAATAAATCCGCCTAACTGTAGTTTATCATCATAGAAACAGAAACTGTGTTCTTCCATCACTAGTTTTCGCAGGTATTTTGGCCTCCATCACATCTTTAGATCACTCAGCCAATCAGCCAATCATTTGATGCCCAGGGCTCTTTCTTACAAGTATACAAAATATAACATGTGCAAGGTGTGGTCCGATTTTACTTTTACTTTTAAGACTCTTTCTGTTGGGACAAGCACATATTTAAGAAACTAAGAAAGTTAGAACTTTAAAAAGGAAGTAGGATGCATTAGGATGTATGTAAACAAAGTATTGTATTTTACCTGTATATTATTGTTGTGGATGGATATTGACAAATTGTTCAAGAGGGAGGTTCAGGTTAAGTGAAGTGCACCCTTAAATTGCTTAGCTCTGCTTTACATGTGGTTAGATTCCATTTTAAGGATTGTGTAGCTAATTTTTGTCTTGGAATTACCCTGGTTTTGTTTAAATAATCCCTTCCAAAATTACTATGCAAACGTATTATAAATATTTGACTTATGAACCATTATTATATGACTTGGACCGTACACGCGCTCTGATTGGTTGATTACCGGTCTGATATTTTCCCATCTCGGACCGTTACCATGACAATTGGTCCGAACAGCGCGTATCACATTTGATATCTTTCCACGGACCGTTACCATGACAACCTGTCCGCAGCGCGTATCACACAAAACCAAGTCGGACATGAACATACTTCACAAATATCTCAAAAGCATTGGTAAAGACACAGACCAGAGTCATATAATAAAACATTTATTAAAAGGAGCTATACCCGTTTTTGCAAGGTTTGAATGTTTACCACCGCCCCCCAACTCGCTCAATGGCTTCTCATTTCCGCTACGCTCTCATAACACAGAGCCATCTAGCTCAGTTTGCGATCTGACATGTATGCTAACATTAGCATTAGCACAACTTCTTGTAAGCTCAACAACAATCACTGAAGAAATGGTACTAAAGCAACGCACTGCTAACACAATATATAGGTAAAAGAATACTGCTAGTTTCGCATCCGAATTTATTCATTAAAATATTAGAATATATTTGAATATTTAACTATAATTTATTATACAGCTCCTCACAGCAGCAGTGGAACACTCCATTGACTTGAATGTAATTCTACCGATCATTTTTTCTTGATAACAGAACTCTCAAATCAATAATGACCGCTACCCTTTGACAATGCAATCTCTGTTTGTAATTCAGGTGTGTAAAATTCTAACATTACTCTGCAAGTAACAACAAGCCTTCAGCGCCTGTCACTGCACTGTGCAGCTTATCAGCACACAGTTGTCTGTGCAGAGAAGCTAGCAGAGTTAGCCAAGCTCAATAAACAAATACAGGGCCTTGCGAAAGTATTCGGCCCCCTTGAACCTTTCAACATTTTGCCACATTTCAGGCTTCAAACATAAAGATATAAAATTTTAATTTTTTGTCATGAATCAACAACAAGTGGGACACAATCGTGATGTGGAACAAAATTTATTGGATAATTTAACTTTTTTAACAAATAAAAAACTGAAAAGTGGGGCGTGCAATATTATTCGGCCCCTTTACTTTCAGTGCAGCAAACCCACTCCAGAAGTTCAGTGAGGATCTTTGAATGATCCAATGTTGTCCTAAATGACTGATGATGATAAATAGAATGCACTTGTGTGTAATCAAGTCTCCGTATAAATGCACCTGCTCTTTGATAGTCTCAGGGTTCTGTTTAAAGCGCAGAGAGACCCATGAAGACAAAGGAACACACCAGGCAGGTCCGAGATACTGTTGTGGACAAGTTTAAAGCCGGATTTGGATACAAAAAGATTTCCCAAGCTTTAAACATCTCAAGGTTTGGGCCTGCTTTTCTTCAGCAGGGACAGGGAAGATGGCTAAAATTGATGGGAAGATGGATGGAGCCAAATACAGGACCATTCTGGAAGAAAACCTGTTGGAGTCTGCAAAAGACCTGAGACTGGGACGGAGATTTATCTTCCAACAGGACAATGATCCAAAACATAAAGCCAAATCTACAATGGAATGGTTCACAAATAGACGTATCCAGGTGTTAGAATGGCCAAGTCAAAGTCCAGACCTGAATCCAATCGACAATCTGTGGAAAGAGCTGAAGACTGCTGTTCACAAACGCTCTCCATCCAACCTCACTGAGCTCGAGCCGTTTTGCAAGGAAGAATGGGCAAGAATTCCAGTCTCTTGATGTGCAAAACTGATAGAGACATACCCCAAGCGACTTGCAGCTGTAATTGCAGCAAAAGGTGGTGCTACAAAGTATTAGCGCAAGGGGGCCGAATAATAATATTCACAATAATATTGCAAGCCCCACTTTTCAGTTTTTTATTTGTTGAAAAAGTTTAAATCATCCAATAAATTTCGTTCCACTTCATGATTGTGTCCCACTTGTTGTTGATTCATGACAAAAAAATTATTTTTATATTTTTATGTTTGAAGCCTGAAATGTGGCAAAACGTTGAAAGGTTCAAGGGGGCCGATTACTTTCGCAAGGCACTGTACATATCTAACAATCAACACCATTAAATGTTAATCGGACAGTACAGTATACATATACATCCTTAACACACATGCATGGACGATTTCAGAATTTGTTGTTAACGTTTTCATGACCAAATTACTATTTTAACTCATTGACTGCCAGCCCATTTCAAAACAGGTACTCCCATATTGCCAGCCGTTTCTGGTGGTTTTTACTGATTTTTCAAGACCCACAGAATATTGTGTACTTTGACTATCTGAAATCTAAAACTAGATTCTGAAAGAATGGGCTGTCTACTCTCACCAGAAAAAAGAATTTTGTTTCTATCTTGTTTAGTTCTTCTGTAATCCCCAGTTGAGTAGAGGGAAGTTTTATTGAAATCACCAGAAAGCTGAGAAAAAAGGGCCACAAACAGTGCATCTAGCTGTGTTCAAACCATTCATAGCGCAATGCTGCCATCTGCTGGCTCCATAAAGTATTGCCTCAAGCCAATCTCCACATATTAGATTCAATGGACAGCTGGGAACGTAAAAATAGCGGGAAACGCAATTGACGTGTTAACACGTCATTGGCAGACAACGTTACTATTTAGTTTGACGTGTTAACACGTCAATGGCAGTCAATGAGTTAATGTGACAAAAAGCGATCGCGAAAAACCCGGAAGTAACCATTAACATGAAACGAACATTTTAGGACACATTTGAAGAGGATCTGATGGATTTAGGTGCGGTATATACAGTGGGGAGAACAAGTATTTGATACACTGCTGATTTTTCAGGTTTATCCACTTGCAAAGCAAGAAGAAGTCTGTAATTTCTATCATAGGTACTCTTCAACTGTGAGTGATGGAATATAAAACAAAAATCCAGAAAATCACAGTAGGTGATTTGTAAATAATTAATTTGTATTTTATTGCATGAAATAAGTATTTGATCATCTACCAACCAGTAAGAAGTTTGGCTCTCACAGACCTGCTACTTCTTCTTTAAGAAGCCTCCCTGTTCTCCACTCATTACCTGTATTAATGGCACCTGTTTGAACTTGTTATCTGTATAAAAGACACATGTCCACACTCTCAATAAGTCAGACTCCAAAATCCACTATGGCCAAGACCAGAGAGCTGTGTAAGGAGGTCAGAGATACATTTGTAGACCTGCACAATGCTGGAATGGGCTACAGGACAATAGGCAAGCAGCTTGGTGAGAAGGGAACAACTGTTGGTGCAATTATTAGAAAATGGAAGAAATTTAAGACAACGGTCAATCTCCCTCGGTCTGGGGCGCCATGCAAGATCTCACCTCGTGGGGCATCAATGATCATGAGAAAGGTGAGAAATGAGCCCAGGACTACACGGCAGGACCTGGTCAATGACCTGAATAGAGCTGGGACCACAGTCTCAAAGAAAACCATCAGTAACGCACTACGCCGTCAAGGATTAAAATCCTGCAGTGCACGCAAGGTGCCCTTGCTCAAGCCAAAGCATGTCTGGCCCGTCTGAAATTTGCAAATGACTATCTGGATGATCCAGAGGAGGAATGGGAGAAGGTCATGTGGTCTGATGAGACAAAAATAGAACTTTTTGGTTTAAACTCCACTCGTCGTGTTTGGAGGAAGAAGAATGATGAGTACAACCCCAAGAACACCATCCCAACCGTGAAGCATGGCGGTGGAAACATTATTCTTTGGGGATGCTTTTCTGCAAAGGGGACAGGGCGACTGCACCGTGTTGAGGGAAGGATGGATGGGGCCATGTATCGTGAGATCTTGGCCAACAACCTCCTCCCCTCAGTAAGAGCACTGACGATGGGTCGTGGCTGGGTCTTTCAGCATGACAACGACCCAAAACACACAGCCAGGGCAACCAAGGAGTGGCTCCGTAAGAAACATCTCAAGGTCCTGGAGTGGCCTAGCCAGTCTCCAGACCTGAATCCAATTGAAAATCTTTGGAGGGAGCTTAAAGTCTGTGTGGCCCAGCGACAGCCTCGAAACCTGAAGGCTCTAGAGGAGATCTGTTTGGAGGAGTGGGCCAAAATCCCTACTGCAGTGTGTGCAAACCTGGTCAAAAACTACAGGAAACGTCTGATCTCTGTAAATGCAAACAAAGGTTTCAGCACCAAATATTAAGTTCTGTTTTTCTGATGTATCAAATACTTAATTCATGCAATAAAATGGAAATTAATTATTCAAAAATCATCTATTGTGATTTTCTGGATTTTTGTTTTACATTCCATCACTCACAGTTGAAGAGTACCTATGATAGAAATTACAGACTTCTACATGCTTTGCAAGTGGGAAAATCTGAAAAATCAGCAGTGTATCAAATACTTGTTCTCCCCACTGTAAATGGGTCACTCACCGCTGATGTTCAGGATTCTTTGTTCAGTTTTCATGTAGTTCTAGAGTTTTTGAACTAGCTAGCTTAGCTGTTACCTGCCTAGCACGTCCCGGTGAAACCTTTGGGAGTTAACAATTTTATTTGCAGTCATTAAATACATTTCGAATTATAAGTGCTGTCTAATATTTGTTATAATATATATATATTTTTCATTTTAGAATTATATTCGAATTTTGAAGTGGAAGCCCTGGTGTTTAGCAGCGCTGTAGAGGCTAGAGGACGCAGGCTGGTCGCTGCTCGTTCTGTGAGTGGAGGAGAACGTCCCGCTCAGACTCTACTCAGCACTTTTCACGGCTGTAACTCTTACACAGCTGAATCAATTACCTCAACTTTTCAATTAAATTATGGATTATAATACAACTTGTATGTAGTAATAAGCATTTTTATGAACTACTTAGAAAAAAAATCGGGTATAGCTTCTTTAACCTTGCTTGCTTGGCCTTTTTGCACAGACCTCGCCACGGCTCGGTCTGTACATTAAAGCCGCGGTCTGATATTTCTCCATACAGACCTCGCGCTCGGTTAATAAGCCGTTATTATCAGAGAGTGCTGTACACATATTGGAGGTGCACTCATTTGGCTCACCAGGGGAATGTCTCGGGCCTTCTCGATGCGGACGAGCTTCACGGTCTCCCCGCCCCACTGTGTCATTGTCTCCCCCTGAGTGGGCACTGCTTCAGGCTGCATCTCCGTTTCTGCTACGGTGTCGTGGGCCAACAGTAACGACTGTAAAATGAATTAGACATATCAGTCATACAGACATTTCTAATCACATATCACAGGTCCAAGTTCTGTGATCAAAATATTACATTTGGGCAACATTGAAATTGTGAGTAAAGAATAGATCACAAACATATTATTTATTCTAAAAATCTACTATAAAAATGTCAAAAGAGCGCTATGCTAAATATCCATAGTAAAGCAGCTTTAAACGTGGAGACAATGGAGAAGTGAATGACATACAGTAACTATGCAAATTACAATTTGTGGGAGAGGCAAATCTAAACTCTACCCCTCTGAATTCATATTATGTGGTGGTTACCTGTAAGTGTGCATCGGACAGGATTGTGTGCAGTTCAAAGCCATCTTTGTTCGAACTCGTCTGGATAAGGTTCCGGACCTGAAAACAGCAACAAAGCATAAGAATATAGACTACACAACAACAAGAACAACACAGGCTCTGCCCCATAGACTGGGACCTAAGTGGTCAAACTGAATTTGGAGCAACGCAAAATACTTTACTGCATTGCAATTGCTTTGAATTGAGCCAGTGAGTCCGTGTCTCACCTCCATGGCCAGAGGAAGAGCCTGCGGCGTTTGCGGATATGGAGGGGAGGGTTTGTGCATACTGCTCGCCACCGCATTGTGGATCTTTAGAGCGGACTGGAAATCAGACTGGAACAAAGAAGACAATTATTAGACAGTTATTATTAGACAATTTTACTCCTATTTCATTCTCCATCTATCCATTTTCTTCCCCTTAATCCATTTCTGGGTCGGGGGGGTGGCAGTACACTGAGCACCAGCCCCTCACTGATCCTCCTGTGTGTGAGTCCACAGGAGCCTTGATTATTCAGCGGGGGCTTCAGGCAAAGTGGGGTTCAGTGTCTTGCCCAAGGAAACAACGACAGCAGACAGACATCAGTGGGAGTCATGAAGTAGGTCTTGAACCCACAACCTTCAGGCTCAAAGGCTAACGCTCTACCAACTGAGCCACTGTCGCCCCTATTCATTCTTTCCCACAATAAATGTATATACTAGAGAGACGGAATCCAGTAAATCCATCCAAAACATCCATCACAAATATCCAAAATGTAAGCTCTGATTCTAGAGTTGTTCTGTCTGATATTACAGATCATTTTCCCATTATGCTTTTCACACATCTGGTAACGCAATCAAACAAAACAGTACTGAAGGAGAAAACTAAAGTATTAACTGATTCTTTTTTAGTGCACTTTATAAAAACCTTAAATGTAAAGGATGTATCTCAGCACAACTCCAGATGATGCCCACACTGCTTTCATTAAAACAATCACTGACAGTATTAACACCACTACACCAGAACAAATAATGAAAACTGCTTCAGGTGAACAGGAAAAATGGATTACAAAAGGCTTACTTTAGTAACCTTACCTTATCCATAATAGAGAAAGATACATTAAATAATAATACTAATAATGCATTGGTTTTATTTGGCGCTTTTTGGACACTCAAAGACGCTTTACATGTCATTATTCTTTCACTCCATACACAGTGGTGATAAACCACTACTGTAGCCACAGCTGCCCTGGGGCACACTGACAGAAGCGAGGCCACCAGTATGTGCCATCGGCCCCACCGACCACAACCAACCATTCACACACACACCAGACTCTTTCAAGGCTAAGTGGGTGAAGTGTCTTGCCTAAGGACACTTAAAAAGGTGGTAATATACAGTCGCAGCCATAAAGTGACAACTGGTGTTCTGAGCGGTTAAGTGTCTTGCCAATGACACAATGAAAACAGACACCAGTGGGAGTCAATGGAAAAAGTCTTGTGGTAGGCTCGAACCCTTATTTTAAGGATTCTTGGACTCGTTTTGTGGTGCTCACAAAACGACAGAATCTAATTGTAGTAATCAGCTAATTGTGAAACCTTTATAATAGACCAGAAACAATACTGACAAGTAATGGATGAACGGTTGAAAATATGCAATTGTGTGCTCTTTATACTGCTCTTTTATTCTTAATATATCTACGGATCATGTGTGTGTATGAATTTACTTAAAGTTTAAATAAAAATAAATTTATATTTGTATTCTTGTACCGGATTAATGTGAACCTTTAGAGGTTAGAGAAAAGATCAACTGTTTACCACAGCACCTGGAGTTACTGTATGTTAAACCTTATGAATACATATTACCTCCATTTAGTAGACTTCAAAGGGAGACATTACAGCCAGACTTATCTTAACATTTAGCTCAATAGGTAAAGATTCCAACCAGCATGTGTTTGTGAAAGGAAACAAATAAAATAAATTACAAAATGCTTTAATGGAATGAATGCATTTGAAGAAGGCAAGTTTAGGCAATGTATATTTTGGCTTAACTAAAACAGAACTCTATACAACCTGAGCACAACCTATAGGACCTGACTTTAGCTGTACCTTTGGGTAACACTTTTAAAACATTAACTAAATTAAATCTAACAACTAGGGGTGTCCCTCCTGGACTGCCACCTTAACGTGGTGGGGGAGTTTGAGTACTCGGATGATCCTGGGAGCTATGCTGTCTGGGGCTTCATGCCCCTGGTAGGGCCTCCCATGGCAGACAGGTCTCAGGTGACGAGTCAGACGAAGAGCGGTCCAAAACCACCATGGACAGCACGTTAAATAGAGCAGTGACGTCGCCCGGCATGGCGCAGCCGGGGCCCCACCCTGGAGCCAGGCCTGGGGTCGGGGCTCGTATGCGAGCGCCTGGTGGCCGGGCCTTAGCCCACGGGGCCCGGCCCGAAGGGATGACGTGGGCAGTCCCTCCTGTGGGCCCACCACCTGCAGAGGGGTCCGTGGTGGCGCGGTGCTGAGAGGACTGGGCGGCAGTCGAAGGCGGAGACCTCGACGACCCAGTCCGCACACACAACATCTGGCTCTTGGGACGTGGAACGTCACCTCACTGGGGGGGAAGGAGCCCGAGCTCGTGGGGGAGGTTGAGCGATACCGACTAGAGATAGTCGGCCTCACCTCCACACACAGCTTGGGCTCTGGAACCCAACTCCTTGAGAGGGGTTGGACGCTCCACTTTTCTGGAGTTTCCCGCGGGGAGAGGCGGTGAGCTGGGGTGGCCATACTCATTGCCCCCCATCTCAGCCGCCACGTGTTGGAGTTCTCCCCGGTGAATGAGAGGGTCGCGTCCCTCCGCCTCCGGGTGGGAGACAAGTCTCTCACTGTTGTGACGGCCTACGGGCCTAACGGCAGTGCAGAGTACCCGGCCTTCTTGGAGTCCTTGGGAGGGGTACTGGACGGTGCACCGCCCGGGGACTCCGTTATTCTCCTGGGGGACTTCAACGCCCATGTGGGAAATGCCAGTGACACTTGGAGAGGGGTGATCGGGAAGAACGGCCCCCCTGATCTGAACCCGAGCGGAGTTCAGTTGTTGGACTTCTGTGCCAGTCACAGTTTGTCCATCACGAACACCATGTTTGAGCACAAGGGTGTCCACCAGTGCACGTGGCACCAGGACACCCTAGGCCGGAGGTCGATGATCAACTTTGTTGTCGTATCATCTGACCTTCGGCCTCGTGTTTCGGACACTCGGGTAAAGAGAGGGGCGGAGCTGTCAACCGATCATCACCTGGTCGTGAGTTGGATCCGCTGGCAGGGGAAGAAGGAGTCCTATCGAGCCATGATGGTTCGGGGGACTCCTGAGGCAGCTGTCCAGTACCGGCAGGCCAAGCGTGCCGTGGCCCGGGCTGTTGCAGAGGCAAAAACCCGGGACTGGGAGGAGTTTGGAGAGTCCATGGAGCATGACTATCGGTCGGCCTCGAAGAGATTCTGGCAAACCATCCGGCACCTCAGGAGGTGGAAGCAGTTCTTTGCCAACACCATGTACGGTGCGGGTGGAGAGCTGCTGACCTCGACTGGGGATATTGTCGGGCGGTGGAAGGAATACTTTGAGGTTCTCCTCAATCCCCCCGTCACGTCCTCTGTTACAGAGGCAGAGGCTGAGGATGTTGGGGCCGATACATCCATCTCCCTGGCTGAGGTCACCAAGGTGGTTGGCAGCCTCCATGGTGGCAATGCTCCGGGTGTGGATGAGATCCGCCCTGATTATCTAAAGTCTCTGGATGTTGTAGGACTGTCTTGGCTGACACGTCTCTGCAACATCGCGTGGCGATCGGGGGCGGTGCCAATGGAGTGGCAGACCGGGGTGGTGGTCCCTCTCTACAAGAAGGGGGACCGGAGGGTGTGTTCCAATTATCGTGGGATCACACTCCTCAGCCTCCCCAGTAAGGTCTACTCCAAGGTACTGGAGAGGAGGCTACGGCCGATGGTCGAATCTCGGATCCAGGAGGAGCAGTGTGGTTTTCGTCCCGGTCGCGGAACACTGGACCAGCTCTATACTCTCCATCGGATACTCGAGGGTTCATGGGAGTTCGCCCAACCTGTCCACATGTGCTTTGTGGATTTGGAGAAGGCGTTCGACTGTGTTCCCCGGGGTGTCCTTTGGGGGGTTCTCCGGGAGTACGGGGTCGGAGGTCCTCTGCTGAGGGCCGTCCGGTCCCTGTATGACCGGAGCCAGAGCTGTGTTCGCATTGACGGCAGTAAGTCAGACCTGTTCCCGGTGAATGTTGGCCTCCGACAGGGCTGCCCTTTGTCACCGGTTCTGTTCACTGTATTTATGGACAGAATTTCTAGGCACAGCCAGGGGTCGGAGGGGGTCCGGTTCGGAGACCACAGGATTTCATCTCTGCTGTTTGCGGACGATGTTGTCCTGTTGGCTCCAACGAACCAGGACCTGCAGCATGCACAGGGGCGGTTTGCAGCCGAGTGTGAAGCGGCTGGGATGAGAATCAGCACCTCCAAATCCGAGGCCATGGTGCTCGACCGGAAAAAGGTGCCTTGCCCTCTGCAGGTGGGTGGAGAGGTCCTTCCTCAAGTGGAGGAGTTCAAGTATCTCGGGGTCTTGTTCACGAGTGAGGGAAGGATGGAGCGTGAGATTGACAGGCGGATCGGTGCAGCGTGCGCAGTGATGCGGTCGCTGTATCGGACCGTTGTGGTAAAGAGGGAGTTGAGCCGAAAGGCAAAGCTCTCGATTTACCGGTCAATCTTCGTTCCCTCCCTCACCTATGGTCATGAGCTTTGGGTAATGACCGAAAGAACAAGATCGCGGATACAAGCGGTCGAAATGAGCTTCCTCCGCAGAGTGGCTGGGTGCTCCCTTAGAGATAGGGTGAGGAGCTCAGTCACACGGGAGGAGCTCGGAGTAGAGCCGCTGCTTCTCCACGTCGAGAGGAACCAGTTGAGGTGGCTCGGGCATCTATTCCGGATGCCTCCTGGACGCCTCCCTGGGGAGGTGTTCCGGGCACGTCCCACCGGGAGGAGGCCCCGCGGAAGACCTAGGACACGCTGGAGGGACTATGTCTCTCAGCTGACCTGGGAACGCCTTGGGGTCCCCCCGGATGAGCTGGAGGAAGTGTGTGTGGATAGGGAAGTCTGGGCGTCTCTGCTTAGACTGCTGCCCCCGCGACCCGGCAACGGATAAAGCGGAAGAAAATGGATGGATGGATGGATGGAACTAGGGGTGTCAAACTCATTCCTAAAGGGCCGCTGTGGCTGCAGGTTTTCTATCAAACCATGCAGGTGCAGAGCAGACTCCCCCCATTTCCTCAAGTGAGTTCAGTCTTAACCTGAGAATGTGAGGAAATAGGCAGAGGCTGCTCTGCTCCAATCTTTAACTATTGAGCTAAATGTTAAGATAAGTCTGGGTTTAATGTCTCCCTTCGAAGTCTACTAAATGGAGGTAATACGGATTCATAAGATTTAAAATTTTTTAGTTTTTCCTTTTCCTCATCAAAATGAAAAATGAAAATTCTAGCCATTATTAGATATTTCATTTTCAATTTTAATTTGAAAAAACCATTGAACGAAAAATACTCGGACCGAGTATTGATGTAAGTTTGGGCCTATTTGTTATGAGCGGATATGAGCCTATGAGTCTATTAGGGTTACAAGTTATCTGACCATGATTTCTGGCAACAACCATTCTAAAATGAGCCAATATAAATACCCAAACTTCTTTTCAACACTGTGAAAACTGCTGACATAAGAAAAAGTGAGATAATATTGACTAATATTTGTAAAGTGATGCAATTTGTGAGCTCTATCACAAACACAATATCATAAAGTAGAGTCGTCCACACTGTGTCCTTCGTCTTTAGTTGCTGCTTAGATCCATTCAATCAAGACTGTCAATTTGTCATTTTCCTTACATTAAGATACAACACAAACATATTCCAGTCATTTTGGTACTTATAATTTTGGAACTGCTTCATTCACCAGTGCCCGCTAATCTTGGAAATTGAGAGTACTGATACAACTGATATAGTCTGGAGTGAGCCTAAAACTAATCCAGGTCTCCAATTTGGTTGCATATGTTGCATAATATGTGTCATTATAATGCGAACAACCGATAGAAAATGATATTCAAGGTCTCCTGTAGGGCTGGGCGATATAAACGGTGTAAGCGGTATGCGATATAAATTTGGCCCACGGTAGAGATTTTTGTTATACCGGCATATGGCAGTAGGTCATTATGTCATCAAATTGCGCAGGCTCTGACGCCAGCAGAGAGCATCAAAACGAACGGCATTCAGCAGCATTAGCATAGACGCATTAGCCTAGCAGACACTACTGGAAACAGCAAACAGCAGCACGGCATTCACACCGTGTTTCTGTCTATGTATTGTTGTCACAGCAGCCCCAGCAGAGATAAATACACACACAGTAATCACAGTTTAAGCGTCTACCTTTTGGCCAATCAGTGTCAAAGGGGCGTAGGCTCGAAGCGCCAGTGTGGAGAAGGGTCTGTCTGCGGCTTGCAGTACGGAGGCGTGTCGAGTAGTAGGCGTGTCGGGTAGTGACGTCACTACCCGACACGCCTACTACATGAATTTTGAATCCACTTGAACTTCTGCAAGTATATCCGTTGAAGAGAAGACATGGCAGACCGTACGCAAACAGTAAGTGTCAACCAACAACGTGTTTTATTTATTTTTAGGCCGTCCCTCAAGTTACAGTGTATTAATGAATAAATGCAAGGTCCCTGACTAGAAATGTTTTTTAAGAAGTGAACTAATACATTGCAGAGAAAGCAATTCGTATGGGTTTCTTCTTAGAGTCCATGTGCCATCGACATGTCAGGTACATAGTATAATAGGTACATAGTATAATATATACAATATAATATTGCCCAAGTCATTTTTCATCGTTAAAATGGCAATAAGGAGAAAAACATAACTCTTTACATGTTTTCCAAGAACAGTGGAGAATTAGTTAGGCAATTATGTGATGTAGCTCACGATGTTTCCTATCACAGTTACAGAAGTTACTGACCGTAGTTATTGGATGATGTTTCAAGATATTTATGTTTCTGAGTGTGCACAAATGGATGTTTATGTCTGCTTTCAGTTGCATCCGACTATTGTCAGTGATGGGAATCATGCTCCAGTGCTGAAGCAGGGGAACACGCTCACATGTGTAACCTGTTTTAAACATGGCGGAGAAGCACAAATGCTCACACACGTGCAAACCCATGAAAGGGCATCTGTTTGTCATGGAGGTATGTTTTAACTTCGAATCCAGGTGTTGTGCAATATTGTAAATTTGTTCTTTAAAGTGATTGTCTAGAGTTTGTCAGAAAGAGAGACAGAGAGGTACTTGATTTGAAAAAAAACGACCCAAGCTCCCTCCCCCTTCCTTTCTGATTGGTCTACACGCTCTTACCGGAAGTATAGCATGATTTATATAATGTTTGTTTTACATTAGTAGGCCCGAGCGCCACCAGGCTGGCACAGGGACTATTGTAATGAAAGTGTGCATAAAACAAACACTGATCCCCCTCAAACATAAATATCTCATGGTATATGTTTCCTGGACGTACACTGTACTAAAAACTCTGCATTGCAACATTGTTGATGTACAGAGACCATAAAGTCATAAGTGCAAGTCACTGACAATATATTAAACAGGACACAACACCTTTTAGGGCTGCATTTGGTTTTGTGAACTGTTGTTGTTGAATGTAACACATTTTACTCTTATCTAGGTGACAGTTCACACTCTGGCCGAGGCATTTCACCTGCCTCAGCAAGAGGCAATTGAAAAATTCATAAAGGGGCCAAAGTATGAACCATGGTAAGATTATTTAAATATTGATGGACATATTTCACTGTGCACTGCAAAATCTAATCTGTGATTGTTCTTTATGGACAGTGAGTTTAAAATTATTGCATTGGTGAGGCATTTACCAGAGGAGGCAGCAGGGAGGCTGAAAGCTTTCCAAGAGAGATGGAGATTGGCGCTCTCCTCTGAAGCCTTTCTCTCACGATTATAATAAAAGAGAATTTGTTGCAATATTTGTTTTGTGTTGAACTTATTCAGTGTCTACATTTCAGAGCCATTCAGATAACACAAATTCATAAAAAAGCATGTGCATAAAATGCCAGATAACAATTTGTTCTTTTTGTTTAATCTCCCTCTTCTGCATACATATTTGACAAAATACAATAGTAATGAATGTCTGCTTGTCCCAAAAGGCCAAAGTTGGGCCCAAAAATGTTATGGCATGTTCTCTTTATGATCAGTAATGTGGAGACCATGGGTGTAGGAGTGTGTGGTGGTGGTGGTGTAATAATATCTTTAACTTCTAATGTACTTTTCAATCCTGTGTTGACAAGTTTCTCAAAACGCCACACTAGTCTTTATTCATTTATTCCACACAGTGTGTCACAGCTGGGTTGGAGGATGCCAGGCTACTAATCTGTGCTATTGGCCACCACCAAGCAGTCTCTCACTATGTCCACACATGTGGGTGAAGTGCATTGCTCAAGAACATACCAGACTGCACTTGGGGCAGCCAGGATTTGAGCCACCAACCATAGGCCCCTTTTATAAATGAATGTGCACATTAGACATAAGCACTGACATTATTTGACTCATTAACTTTTGTCCTGAGCTGCTTCAAGTCCCTATTGATTGATAGTCTGAAGTAATGGCAGCTTTTGTAGGCAAATTTACTACTTTGATATTTACAAAATTTGTCCATTTTCCACCAATAAATAATGATGACAATGACATGCCCCATAAAATTCATTATTGCGCATAAATTCATTGGGCATAGATAGTACTCAGTACTCACTACTACTCATACCCGTATTATAATAGATCCATGCTCATACACGCGGAGTTTGCGTGTCGAGTAGTAGGCGTGTCGAGTAGTGACGTCACTACCCGACACGCCTCCGTACTGCAGGCCGCAGACAGATACACTTGCCAGTGTGAGCCAAAATAGATCCATGCGTGTGCCATGTCCGCAGCATCACAGCAGAAGTTTGCGAAAGTTAGGGTCAGATTCGGACCTCCGCGGCCAATATCTCACGAAAGCTACTTTGTTAAACAAAATTATTTGTGCCAAAATGATCATTTACATCAATTGTTCAAATCCAATGCGCTGTTTTAATGAACATAAATCCATTGAATCATCCAGTTCACTGCAAGCGCAGAGAAAAGCGCTTAGGGAGCGTCAACAAATGTCAAGACCAGCTTTGTAAACGAACAATAGCTTTTACTGAAGTCATGTACCTGCACAAAACTCTCAGACACTATAAATAATGACCATGTCTAACTCCTACAGACTTTGATTTTCAACATTAGATTCTAATATATAAATAAGTAACAATCTTGACTATTTTATGCAAGAACCTGCTAGACCTATATTGAAATTCACACACAAATTATACCGCAATATATACCGTCTACCGTCTGTGTCCCAAATTATACTGCAATATAAATTTTAGGCCATATCGCCCACCCCTAGTCTCCTGGCTTACCTTCTCTGTCCCAGTTCAGACTCACACTGACACTACAGTAAAGGCTGGCCTGCTATTGAACCCCTCTGGCTCCTCCCACAGGTCAATTAACTCAAAAGTACAATTTCTACATAAACTGAGGGTACAGTCATAGTACAAAAATATGGATAAACAAACAACTCCCTACTATAGAGTTATCATCTGCACCTGTAGACAACAGATGAAAAATAATTAAATACATTTTGAACAAAACTGAAAAATATGATCTCGTCAATTACGTCAGACGCAGACATACGCGCAACACGCTCAAAACAGGAAGCGTGAGTGGCACTTGGTTTACGGGTTTGGGGTTTGTTGAGGAGATGGATGGAAACTTTATGGAGTGCAAAACTATGGATGGGAATTGTTAACCAGAGGCCTAGTGAGCACCCAAGACAACTGGGATGAATGAATGAACGGAGGATGAAACAAAGCGGACTGACAAGGGACGGGATCGTCAAACAGGTAAGTGAGTTGCGAGGTATGTGTGTATGTGTGTATGTGTGTATGTGTGTATGTGTGCGGGGCTGAGTGCAGGCAGACGGGAGAGACTGCTCTGGGCTTTGACGGAGGCTGCTCCGTCACAATTGATTTATAACTTTACCTTGTGTAACAGTGCAAGGACCAGCTCTATGTCATTCTGACTCTGCTGATCGGACAGGCAGCCCCGGACCTGCTTCAGTGAAAACAGCAACTCCTCCAACTCTGAAAAAACAGTAAATGCTTTAGCTATAACATCATACAAAGCCCTATTACTGAGATTTACACTCCTGCCAAGTTATTTTTTTCCTCTGAGACAATAAAGAGAAATCTGATTCTGATCATAGGGGCGCCTAAACCAGTACCAGTCCTATTCCACACTTTCTATCATCACAGCAGAAGAATGTACTTTAGAGTCAAAACATTCTACAACATAATGTCATCAGTGGTGCCAATGATGAAGATTGAGTACAACTATGAAGGACATGAATCTCCTCTATATTCCCATGAAGGCAGTTTCTCATTAACTCGTGGGTACATCTGCCAGTGTTTCTGTTTGTCGTCTCGAGTCCCTCTCCAGTTTTAATGAAGTCTCCTGAAGTGGCCCTCGTGTCCGGCTCTCCCTCCCTCAGGAATGCCTTCCCTGATGACACATTCCTCTCTCTTGGCTCTCCTCGTCCTCCTCCAGCCATCCCACAATCCTTCACAGCATTATTGTTCAACTGTTTTAAACACAGAAATACCTACACTTAATGTCTAAATAGGTGCCACAGATATGAGAAGAGTTTAAATTAACCCAGTGATAAAAGAGGCCTTCATTCCTGTGTTAGAAAACTGAGTGATTCATATTGTGTAAACATGATCCAACTTGACTTGAGAAAGTGGTTGAAGTGGCTTACCAAGAAAACACTGATGAGTGTGATGGTTACCTTGGGCAAGTAACCTCAGCCCAACTATAGTTTATCTCAGTTTATAAGTTAAAACGCAGTCAGCTAATATTAAATATGTTTTGGAAGAAATATAAAATGTATGTTTTGGACTGAACTATTTATTAGTCATGCTTGTTCATATAACAAACACAATGTCTTTCATTCGTCACCGCTCTCAATGTATTCCATTAAAGCAAGCAAACACTGTAGAAATGCTTCTCTTTTCCTTGATGACTGTTGAGGCTGGTTATCATGAGCTATCATTACCAAGCAGAGCGTGTGCCTGGCTGAGGGGCAGGGGCTGAGGGGAGTCCTGGAGGAACGAGGGGTTGTCAATGCCGATCTGAGGATTCTGGGCAAGTTTCCGGAGTCTAAGCGACGTGTTTAGGTCCAGCTGCCGATCCTCCTCCTCCCGCCGTCGCCGCAGGTCCTCCTGATTCACACACAGAAAATGAATGGACATAATGAGCATTTCATATCAGCCATGATGTCATGATACATACACAATGTAATATTCTTATAATATTAAGTATGTATATGGGCTACTAAATGTCAAACAACAACATAAATAAAAGTGTTATGACTGAAAACACAATCCTAGTCTCATTTTGTGATAAGAACTCAACATCTCCCAACATGAAGTGATCTAGTTTACCTGGTGTTGGCGTATCCTCTCCAGCTGTGCGGAGCGGCGAAGCGGTAGAGTGCGGCTGCCCAGATCGCCAGGACAGTCCACAGCCATCTCTCTGTGTCCGGACCTCAGATCATCATCCCCTCCCTCCCCCGACACATGGCCGTTCAGGTGGGAGGTGGTCATCCCTTCCTCTCCTCAAACTAGTGTGAGAGTCCAGTGCAGTGTGACTATAGGAGTGCTTAAGAGCAGGGCAGGTCACTCCGCCGCGAGGCCATTGTACCTGTGGAAAAAGAGAGACCAAAAAACCCCAAAGAGGGAGTCAGTTAAAGTAGCAACCAAAGGGCTTCCTTCACAATTGCATGATCATTTAAGTGCATATAGGAACAGTGCGGTGCATATAGGAACAAAGTGCTTCTGCAACTTGTTCTTGTATGGCAACGTAATGTCTTGACTCGGTCATCTGTGTTTTGTTTTTAGCTGCGAATAAAGTTTACAGTCTCAGGTAGGGATGTAAATCTGTGACCGTTTAACAGGTGGTTGACCATAGCAGCGTTAACCGGTCAAAGCTGTCAGTTAAAAAAAGAAAAGGGGGAGGGAGGGTCTCTTAATTACGCCATTACAAGCACGGTGTGGCGGAGTGGGTCAGTTTCTAGCTATGTGCGGCAATGTATTAGTAAAATCCAGTCAAAACACATGGAACATGTTAGTGCTGATGGTACTTGGCATTTGATCAGCTCCACACAAACATCACTTGTATTTAAACTTTAGAGGAGACCTGCGAGACACGGCTTGTCACTCGCTGCTCTGACCATGTGGACGAGCCATCGTTTGCTGCTAAAAAGCTTTAACCTAGCACAGAAGAATGGGAAGATTAAAAAGAAAGCGGCATAGCTGCACTTATAAAAAGTGTGTGGTTTGAAATAATTGTTATTTCAAAGAAGGTAGAATATTTTAAGCTACGCGGATAATCTGTTTCAACCATTTAATGAGGCTTGGAGGTCGGTCATGAAAATTCATTGTTTTTTTATATCCCTAGTCTCAGCTACAAAACCACATTGTCCAATGACAACAAAAGGTGCCATGTCCACTGCTGTACACTATCTATGCCTAATGTCATATTATAAACTATGCGTGTTTTACACAAGTTTGTTTCTTCCGAGCATATTTGTAACATCTTTGCTGCTAGCTGCACGGGCGCTGCCTCTTGAATGAGACACACGCAAAGGGAGAGGGAGCAAAAGAAGGGGCAAACAAGCAAAGCGGCAAAAGTGAAATAGAGCCAGTATCTCGATAATGTGAAAAAGCTTATTGTCAAAGTTATTTTTATGATATTATCACCTAAGATAGCCCACCCCTAGGTGAGGTCATTGCAGCAAGAGAATTCACACCTTTTTCTTCATATGGCTGTGATACAGCCCCCCGCTGCAAAGTGTATCTGTTTTGGTCCACTTTTGAGGCCATTTCTTAACGCTTGCATTTTCACCCCCCTGAAACACCATCCACCCATCAATCTTCTTTCCATTTACCCATTTCTAGGTCGGGGGGGGGGGGGGCAGTCAGAGCTGTACCCCAGTACACAGAGCACCAGCCCCTCACTGATCCTTCTGCAGGAGGTGAGTCGACAGGAGCATAGATCTTTCAGCGTGGGCTTCAGGCAAAGTGGGGAAAGTGTCTTGCCCAAGGACACAACGATAGCAGTCATCAGTGGGAGTCGTGAAGTAGAACTTTTCGTGGGCTCGAACCCACAACCTTCAGGCCTAAAGGCCAATGCTCTATCAACTGAGCTACTGCCGCCACTGATACCCAACTCAATCGTTTTACTGTTTCACCGTCTCCGTATAAAAAGCCCCTGACATTCACATAAACACACCTGGAAGCAGGAATGTGTGCTACATCATCAGCTCTATAGATCAACAGTTGATAGAGCTGTGTCCAGATCTCTCCCTGCACCAAAGGGGGTGCTTGAACAGAATACAAATGCCTCAACCGCAGGGGTCAAATAACTTGAAGGAAACCTTAGCATATACTAGAAGGATAATTGAAACACAACCAGGTAGAGTAGAACCGAGTAGAGTAGTGCCAAGTAGGAGCGGTGGAAACAGGGATATAGTCCCAGCAGCATACATGGGCCTCCCCCATGACTAATAATTCATAAACGCACTTTAACACTCATGCTAATAGAAATAGAAAATGTTGTTATCGTTGGGTTTTCAAACAATAGGAAAGTTATTTGGGGTTTTTCAGGTCAACCGTCTCATTAAACAAGTCTTTGTAACTCGCTCCACTGCTCAGAGATCTAAGACACATCACAGCCCCCACACCATACATCTAAGTAGTGTTATTATAGCAACGGCTCAGTCAGCAGCACCAAAACACACACAAAATGAGAGTTGGTACAAACAAACAAAAAAAGCTGATGATGACAAGAATAGAAGAGAGTTGAGTAGCAGAATTAATGAAAGTGGAATCAAACTTACAATAGTTGGATACCACATTTAAAAACATGCTAAATAATAGAGTGCCAAAAATGAGTGCGTTTTTGCATTGAAATAGCAACCGAAATAGCCTCAACGAACCTTTAATGTCGAATCTAGAACATAAAAGCAAAACATTACTATGTTTTGGCATGATGTTTATAGACAAGAAGTTTAAATCCAATATATTGCCTATGTGGAAAATTAACCTCACAGAGAATAGATCTGCACCAGAGCTCCTGGAAGTTTATTCTCAGTTTCCTTCAAGTTTCAGTTTTTTAAGTCAGAACAAAGTCAGGACATGGTTTATTTAGTCATAGTTACGTCACAAATAAATCACACAAAGAAAGGCATACGTGCCGCATCAAGAGACAAACAGAACATATTAGAGTCATAACATGGATACACAATGGAGTCCTTCTTACTGTGAGGGCCAGATATTTTGTCTTGCGTTTGTCCACCTGCATAGGCCATAGCTATCTAGCCACCATACTTGCATAACATTTTCTAACCATAATATGGTCAACTCCGAGCTTTAGAGGTTGATCATTAAAGATGTGAAATGCAGCTCAATATGCTCCATAGGGTATGGTCATTACTCTCCACATAGCAAATCTGCACCAAACAACATTTCAAAAGAAAGTTTTTGTTTGAGCTTGAAAATAAATGCATCACAAAATAACAGTTGCCCCAAAATGTTCAGTCCAATTATTAACTTGTAAATTCTCAAAAACAAGTATATATAAAAACATATTTAAAACAAGGATTTATTGTACAGTTGTGAGGATTAGATGGCTATTCTAGAGTTTGGCGCACCACGATCTCTGTCTGGTTCATTCCTGACACAGTTTACAATCGTTTCACAATAGAGCAAAACCTAGTTCATGTGGGTTCAATTGAAAAAAGGCAGGTGAAAGGGAGAAAGTAAAAATAAAAAAAATGTGATGAGATGAAGACGATCTCTTTGTGACAAAAATAAAAGCGGGATGGATTATGATTATGAGGTTATCTCCTCAGCAGCACACACACAGAAGAATGCCAGGCCATGGGAACCAAATTCCTCAATTGGGGGAAGGGAAGGTGATTACAACACCCGCCTCATTATCTCTGTGTATGTTTAACGTAACCTTGAAACACCAGGGGAATTTACAGGACAAGTCATCAAAACAGAAGCCCAGTGTAACAAGTTAATACATGAATGAGTCCAAAATAAGAGAATACAGATTAACCCTAATCCAATTGTTGCCTTACTTTAGTGGCTTATAACTGATATTTGCAATAATCTTAAGACAATAGTAACATGTTAACAAATAAATATACAAAAGGTTTAAATAAGATTTAGATCAGCTTTTTTAGACAGAAAAGTATAAAAGAGAGAACCAATCAGCTCTCAGCCCAAAGCATCCAATAGTGACTCATGCGGTTCTTTCTAACATGTATGCACATTTACAAGACTCTTTCTATTGGGACAGAGAGCGTGCATTATTCATGAATAATTGATACCTTGTATATTATATAAAATAAAATTGTTCATCATTACTGTTGCAAAAAAGTATGCTGCTATTTATCCATTTTAAACATGATGCAATCCCCCACGTTGCCAGAAGAGTGCAGCAAACACAATCCAAGCTAAAACAGGGAACATACAGTGTATGGAAAGTAGGCCAAGTTTATTTTAAAGTTATAAACGCAACATAATAACAATGATATTATAGATATGTTTTGAACGAACAATTTAATTAAACACACATCAGCTCAATAAAGAAAGGCATTTTTAATAAAAGTGTCATTAAAATACAGTGCATTTAATGCTTTGCAGAGGGGACCGGGGCCACATACCCCCAGAGGAAAGTGTCTTCCTGGGGACAGTAATGTAATAAGGAAACAATCCTCCGGAAATCACTGCAGACAACTTTGACGTTCACATAACTGAAGTTGAACATGCTGGGCCCAAAGAGCACAACAGATCATGGATTTTGCAATGGTTCCCACCCATTACTCTTACAATTCTGTTAAATCTGAAACACTCTGGTCTTCAGGCTGTATAGCAATGATATTTGAACAGCTATACGTCAATCCAAACGAGAAGTGCCAATTTCCTGTATCTTCAAAACAACATTCCTCATCGTTTAGTCCTAGTTTAGACCTGGTTTGGTTCATTTCAAGTCCTCTTCTCCCCATGTCTGCATAGAACTACTACTAAAAAAAAGGAAAAACTATTTTTTTTGTTTTATTGCATACATTTTTTATATGGATATCGCACGCACCAATATCGCGGTAACAATATTTTTTTGATATATCGTGCAGCCCTATCTTCTACCACTAAAATTATGTACAATAGCTCCCCTCTTTATGGATCCATGATTCTGAAATCAGAGGAACAGATTCTGAAATCTCTGGCTGGGCTATTTAGTTGAAAACATGGGTACCTCAGCTTTAATATTATAGTTTTGTTGGATATTGTGTGCCGTCCAATATAAGCCAGATCAAGGTCAATGACTTCCACATTGAAACAATTGTTGGTGGTGCTTAAAAGAATTACAAATCACAGTAAAGTGTAAAAGGGTAGGAACAAAACAGACAGTAGCCAGAGCTGTTTAATAAATGAAGCTATAGAAAAGTGCAGCCTGAAGTGTGGTCCGTGTATCTGTGAGTGGGAATAAGTGCACAGGGATTAAAGCGGCTAACCTCCTTCTGACAATAACATTA